AGTAATGCCAACCAATCAGCACTCGGTAGCGATAATGCCAACCAATCAGTACTCAGTAGCAGTAATGCCAACCAATCAGCACTCAGTAGCAGTAATGCCAACCAATCATCACTCAGTAGCAGTAATGCCAACCAATCAGTACTCAATAGCAGTAATGCCAACCAATCAGCACTCAGTAGCAGTAATGCTAACTAATCAGTACTCAGTAGCAGTAATGCCGACCAATCGGCACTCAGTAGCAGTAATGCCAACCAATCAGTACTCAGGAGCAGTAATGCCAACCAATCAGCACTCAGTAGTAGTAATGTTAACATCATACAGCACAAACTACACCAAAAAAAAAAAGAAAAAAATGAAATTTACATGTATGGTTTCTTTGCTTTTTGGTAAAATATGTACCTCTACTTTCCAAAATTAAAGGAAGGCTCTAAAATTGTTATTACAAACTATTTTAGCTTTTCAATTTTAGCCGTTGAGCTCCATTCACCCCCATTCATTAAGGACTTGCTCTTGGGCGCCCTCTGGCGGTTTGCAGTTGTGTTTTTGATTTAAATGTTTTTTGAGATGTTGCAAGAAACAGCTTTAGTTCATTTATTATAAAAGGAAAAAAGCTTTTATATGTCTAAATTTGCTTTTGTGGATATGATACTTCGCTAGAAAAAAATATTTTATGAACATTATTTTCATAATCATGAAAATAGAAAGTGAACATAAAATTCACACTAATGCTACACTCTTAAAAAAGATGGTTCTTCAAGGGTTCTTTATTAAAGACAATTGTTCTACATAGAACCATGAACACTCAGAAAGAACTATTTGCATGATTAAATGGTTCTTTGCATGGTGAAATGGTTCTTCAGATTGATGAAGAACATGATGTATACAGTTCACATAGAAAGTTTTTCAAATTGGTTCTATATAGCACCAAAAAGGGTTCTACTATTGCTACAATGTCTGTAACTGTTGTAACAACAGAAGAACCTATTTTCAAAAAGGTTCAATTTAGAACCATATACAGCACATTCTCCATTAACCTGAAGAACCATTTCACCATGCAAAGAAAACTTTAAGCATGCAAATGGATCATTGAGTGCTCATGGTTCTATATAGAGCCACTGTCTTTACTAAAGAACCCTTAAAGAACAATGTTTTTAAAAGTGCATTTTTTATTGAGTTCAGAAGATCAGGGCAGAATTTCTCAGTGTGGCTGCAGAACCAAATAAATGAAGGGCTGTTTCTGATGGACATCTGGTATCAATGTCTTTTAATTAAAGCTGTTAGTGGGGTAGAATCTATGAATTAACCTTTAAGGGACGTCTCTCACTTTATTGGACAAGAAACGCTGTAAGGGCAAAGTTCATGCTTTCCTCCAAGATATATTCTCTACAAACGTATTTTGATATGAGACGGCACATGGGATTGTAACAGTGTTAATCTGAAGCACGTTCCTGATTGCCTTGTTATTCTCACAAAGGCTGGGTGAAAAGCCTATTCGCCCTACATCCAGAGAACAAGGATGCATATTTAAACCAACAGTAACTGGACCAGGTTGTTGGCCTCACAGAAGCATGACAACACCTGAAGGTCTGGTGTCAAACACTGTAGCAGTTGTTCACAGTTCCACACATTTGCTCAGGATTCTGGTGTTTGCAAACTGTGCTGAGTCAGTTTCGTGTGCTACACCACCTCCTGGTGCTGAGAATAAAAGGAGATTCCAGCTGCTGCTACTGCTACAACTGTAATGTCTCAGAGATGCAGTGTAGATAACTGTACGCAGGCCTGCCGTGTCAGAAACCACATAGGCGAGTCTATTTCAGATGACTGTGTGACATGGTTCGAAGGAAATGTGTGATGATTTTGACATGAGTGTTTTAAATTAGCCTTGCAGCTTCAGTACAAAACTAAAGAAACCTACAATCGTAGAAGTTCAGTCAAATTCTATGTTTTTTAAATTTTCTAAGTGAAAATAAGTTACACATCCTCTACAGAGAACAGGCTTCAGGATGGAGTCTCTAAGGTGACAGGGGGATTAATTTTCAATAAGACATGGCCACAAAGTGGTATATGGAGGCCACAACTTACTATATTGAGGCCACAAATTAATATACTAAAGCCACAAATTACTATATTGAGGCCATGAGTTACTAAACTGAGACCACGAGTTACTATATTGAGGCCACAAATTAATATACTGAGGCCAAAAATTACTATATTGTGGCCACAAATTAATATACGAAGGCCATAAAGTACTATATTGAGGCCACAAATTACTCGATTGAGGCCATGCATTAATATATTGAGGCCACAAATTAATGTATTGAGGCCATGCATTAATATATTGAGGCCACAAATTACTATATTGTGGCCACAAATTAATATACGAAGGCCACAAATTACTACACTGAGGCCACAAATTACTCTATTGAGGCCATGCATTAATATATTGAGGCCACAAATTAATGTATTGAGACCATGCATTAATATATTGAGGCCACAAATTACTATATTGTGGCCACAAATTAATATACGAAGGCCACAAATTACTACACTGAGGCCACAAATTACTCTATTGAGGCCATGCATTAATATATTGAGGCCACAAATGAATTTACTAAGGCCACAAATTAATATATTGAGGCCAAAGATTAATACATTAAGGCCACAAATTACTACATTGAGGCCACAAGTTACTATATTAAGGCCATAAATTACTACACTGAGAACACAAATTAATATATTGAGGCCACAAATTAATATTTTTTCAAAATTTTGATTGAAATATATTGAAAGTTTTTCTTAACTTGTGGTCTCCAAATACTAATTTGTGGCCACGTCTTATTTAAAAATAATCCCCATATCACCTCATCATTTTAATGCACACTTTCTGTTTATTTGCTGAATTTAACATATTGAAAAAATATGAAATGTGGCCTGTGCAAAAGTTATGGCACATTTTATATTTTATTTTTTCTCAGTATGTTAAACTCAGCAAATAAGTAGAAACTGTGCACTAAAATTTACAAGAAAATGCCGCATTTCAGTTTGCTCCATGTAGAGGATGTGTTAACTTAAATCAATAAAACATTTGATCGGGGGCGTTTAAACTTTTGTATAATCATGAAAAAGCAAGAGCTCATAAAAGTCTGCCTCTTTCTCTGCAGTTCTGCTCGTGGTCAGTAGATGGCACTGTTGGACTGCAGGACTTCATCGCTGTTGCCTGTATTGCCTTCAGAAAAATGTTTTCTGTTTCACCCATGTTTCCTTCAGAAATGACATTTTCTGTACATCTCTGGCAGAAATTACCTTCACTGGACTCACAATCAATGAAATCCAAGCCTCCACAAACACCTTCAGTTATCAGGGATTGGAGTGACTACATTCCCTCTTACAGACCTCTGGACCCCGCAGTGCAGACCCCTCACTCCCGTTGTATACTTTATCAAGATGGACCAGGGTGTAAACAAAGAGTTTCATTCTAAAATTCTGTAAACCCATTTGTATTCATTTTGGATAGAAAGAATAGAAAAGCATTACAGCTGATGTATAAAAAATCCAGTTTTATTTCTATATGATATGAATATAATAATAAAAGCCACGTGTTGTCAAATTGAACTCAGAACCATTGGCCAACTGTGTTTGCAGAGGAATTAGACCTCCGCATTTAACCCATCTGTGCAGTGAAACACCCACATACATGCACACTAGTGAACACACACACACTAGCAGGCAGTGAGCACACTTGCCCGGAGCGGTGGGCAGCCCTATCCACAGCGCCCAGGGAGTAGGTGGGGGTTAGGTGTCTTGCCCAAAGGCACTTCAGTGACATACTGTCAGCTCAGGGGATCGAACGGGCAACCTTCCGGTCACAAGGCTGGTTCCCTAACCTCCAACCCATGACTGCCCATGTTGCTAATATTATAATTATTATTATTAGTAGTAGCAGTAGTAGAAATACTAATATTACACATAAAATACATACATACATACATCATCTACACCACTTATCCCGCATAAAATAGGAATACCAATTACTGTATTTGTATTAATATGTTTGAAGGCAAAAAGGTAATCTTAAAGGGCCCATATCATGGAAACCCAAACTATCCTTGCTTTTTTTTCAAATGAAAGAGTTTAATATAGTATATAAATTTAAATACATATTGTTCACTCTCCAGCCCCTACAGTCCATATGTGGAATCTAAGCTGCAAATATAGCTCATTTTTGTGATGTCATGAAAATCAACACATTGAAATCTATCCAACTAATCAGTCTACAGCAGTTTAGCCCCACGCACTCACACTGAAGTTACAAGGTGTGTTTCAACTTGGACTGCTTTTAAAAATAACAAACATACGAAAATCAGTCTTAAAGGCACAGTGACAAAACCAGGTTGTTTCATTCCAAGGAATAAAGAGAGGTTGGAAAACGGTTCTGTAAAAATCCTTTTTGGTACATAAAACCACATCATTATTTTACAGTTACAGCAATGTAGTCTCTGATTGGGCCCCCAAATAAATGAAAAGTAAAGGGGTAATGAATTACATTTATACTTGCATTTTTTTTTTTAGTTAAAGGGCCCAAAACAAAATTTCCCTCACTTTTTTGGAAAAAAGTACATAAATATTGTCAGTGGTGGACAGTGATGAAGTAGGTGGTGACATCCTGTATAAATAAAAATAATGCGTGGCCACGCCTTATTAATGCGTGGGAACGAGATGATTAAGTCCTGGCCACGACTTAGTACAGCGTGGGCTTACTAAGTCGTGGCCACGCATCAGGATCTCGTTCCCACGCTTTAGTAAGTCGTGGCCAGGCGTTAATCATCTCATTCCCACGCCTTACTAAGTCGTGGCCACGCATTATTTTTATGTATACAGGATGTCACCAGCGGGGCTCCGTAGTAATGGAATTAGAGGACCTCAGAAAATCAAATGTTATTGAACAGGCCTGCGTGTCGCTCTCCAGCCTCTAGGCGGCAGCAGCGCCTCCAGTGCTGCAGGAGAAGAAGAAGATCAACATGGTGGAGGAGAGTGGGACCCGCGTGGTTCGCTGCGGCGGCAATAAAATCAACTTTAGAGCTCCGATCATCTCTAAAGACAGCAGGTACGAGCAGAGATATGATAACCCTAAAGGCTTTTCTGACCGGCCGCCCTGATGGGTGAAAACAGGAGCGTCTTATTAGATTTTTCCCGTTCCACCTTAAATCGTGCAGCACTTACCATTAAGTGCTGCACCATTTAAGGTGGAACAGGAAAATTCTCATTTTTCTTACATCTTTAACAGTGTTTCCTTCTAAATCTGAGGCACAGCTTTTCTGAACCCTACCAGAGTTAATGTCCCCCACCCGGTTACCTGCCGGTGCCCCATGTGTTGATACGCCATCTACTTGAATGGCAGACTTAAAGGGGAACTCCACTGATTTTTCAAAATTTCTGTAACACGTTATATGTTATAGTTCAGTGTTTGAGATGTGAGCAGTCATTCAGAGTGATTTGATGTGAGATGGTTCATTGTAGAGAAAGTTACAGAGTCAGATTTGTTTACAGTGGTGGTGATGGGAACCAGGGGTCACCATGTCTACAACACAAATATAGCCATTTTATTTACTATCCCAAACCACCAGTGAACCGACACGTGTCTTCTGAGTTATCATATGTAATGCTGATGATTGTCAAATAATCAGAAACCTAAAAAAACAAAATTTCTTTGGGGACTATTTTGCCTTAGATCATGCTCCACCGTGAATAAATTGAAATATGTTTATTAAAGTACAATTTAGACCAAAACTTTGTCACAGAGCTGCCATAAAACAATGTCTCTGGCATCAAGCTCTGTATTCATAGCCATTTCATGTAATAACTTTCTCTGATGGAGCTTTTAGAGGCATTAAACTCTTAAGATGTCTGGTTCCTATCACCACCACTGTGAACACTTCTGTTTTTCTACAGCAGAGCATTTCACACCAAAGCACTCTGAATGACTATGTACATCTTATCCATTCACTTGTGTAGAATTTCCCCTTTAACGTCTAAAGCTATTCAAATGTTAATTGCTTTATGTATTAAATCTGTTTTGTTTTTTGTTTTTTTTTTTAAATGCATCTGTCCTCTTAGACATGGTCACATCAGAGAGAGCTGCTTAAGTTCCTTTGATGGAGAACATGGGCTTGGTTCCTGTGTTCGTCCAGACAGAAGCAGGACACAAAATAATTTACACGTCTTTATGTCAGTAGTGATAGACCATTTAATTCTCCTGACTATATTTCAAACAATAATAGTGCAAATCAAAAATGAAATCAGATGCTACACTGACTAAAAACCAAAACTCTTTGGTGCAAATTTAATTTGTCATCTGCACTTTTAATAGTTGTGTTTGCAAAAACACTGTGAAATTAACTGTGTCCAAAAGTATCCAGACACCCCTTCTAAACAGTTCCTTTAAGGTGAACCCACATGTGACGCAGGAGTTAAACGGTGTGCACACAGCTTATATAATCTCAATAAAAAAGCTCTGCTCGATAAAATGGGACGTTCTGGAGCAGCCACACACTCCTTTGGGATGAGTTGGAGTGTCCAGAACTGATCAACCAACATCAGCACCTAACCTCACTAATGCTCATTTTGAGACTGTCTCACTCTCTCCCATCATCAGTTTCTGTATGTGTGTGTGTATTTATTTATTTATTTGTTTATTGTAGGTTCCTGATATGTGCTTCAGGGGATTTAGTCAAAGTGTTTAGCACCAGCACAGAGGAGTGCGTCCATGTGCTAGAGGGCCACACAGGCCAAGTGACTGGCGTTGTCTTGAATCCTGCCAACCACCTCCAGGTCTGTATTAATCGTATCTTCTTCATAGACAAACAGCTTCAGTGTATTATAGAAGTGCTTGTGTATAGGTGAGTCATTGTTTCTGGCCCGTGTCATGTTGTACTGGACCGTGATGGTTGAGTTGCTTTTTTGCTTGTCTTCAAATTTTGCGCTATTTTCCAGCAAATCATTTGTGAACGTTTTTCCCGACTCTATGGTGAGAGGCTTTCACTGAATTGCAGAGTTCAAAGTTTTCTCGGCTGTCCCATCTGTACCCTCAGAGCTTATAGATCTCCGAAGTCGTGACATTATTCTGTAGTAGGCGATGTTAGGAACAAGCAGATTTCTCAGTGTTGGAAAAATAAATGGAGGTTTTTAAAACTGCTGCCTTCTCGTCCTGTGGGGATACGTTTTGCCGCAGATACGCTTTTACCTCTGAATGTTGCTGGACCCACTGGAGTTATGAGTCTGGTAGTCGATATGCGAATATTGCCACATGCAGGCTAACCTTGCTACACATTGAACTGACATAAGACTGGCAACTTCAACCAAATACCCCACACTAAGCAGCAAGCTTTGCCAAATGTGGTGGTTAGGTTGCTTTGGTAGTGCTAGCCTACAGTTTGAGTAGCTGTTTTATGTAATGCTGTTAATGTATAGAGAGAAACGTACTTTTGTGCAACATCATTTCAGTGTGCAGTAGCTTGTAGCATGTACACTTCCAGTCCCAAGTTTTTCCAGTTTTTATTAACATTTTAAGCAGTTCAGGTCCAGTGAATAACCTGGTACAGAGGTAAACAGTAAACAGCAAAAGTAAAAAAAAAAAAGAAAATTAAACTGAAAACTCAAAAATTAATGTCGATTTCAGAGTTTTTCGGAGTTCAAGGCCTATTCTGGGATCACGTCATTGGCAAACATCTTACACCTGTTCGGCGGCAATGGAAGTAAATTAAGCTTTGAAAGTTGATGCAAACAATTCCTACAGGTGTCCCAACATTTATCATCACTTACAAACCCTCTGTCTGCACAAATCGGTGTTGGAACAGACTAAACTCTCATGTTGCACTGCAGGATGTAGTATATTGCTATTATAATGATAAGAAAAAGGCAATTAACAACGGAAAACAGACCACTGTAACCATTAAAAGTGTGCCATTGCAAAGAAAGACACAGAGTCAGTGAGGACAGTTTCAGGCACTTGGAAACTGGAGGAAAGTCTGATTGGAAAAGGTCTGGCAGACCCAAAGCCCCAACAGATCACAAGACAAATTTCTGAGGATCAGCTCAGTTTCAACTCTGAAGAGAAGCTTTGGGGCTGCAGGTTTGACAGGTCGAGTGGTAGTAAGAAAGCTGTGCTGGTCTGGGGCCAGATTGCTGGATACAGAGTCGGCAACTGGCAGCCTGAACCAAAAGGGCTGCCCAATTATTTTGACAGCAAAATGCAGTAAAAGTGGCTACTTTGAGTCATAAATTTGGATAAAATTTTGTTAAAACAATTCCATTATTTCTTTTGTCTCTCCAGTTGTTTTATGTAGTTTCAGAGTGTATTGAAACATTGAACTGTCTAAATATTCATAAACATGGAAAAATATCAGTGTTCCAAAACTTTTGGCCAGTAGTGTAGCTATATTCATATATTGACTACTAAACAATCTTGTAATTCAGAGAATCCAGTGACATTGTGCAAAAAAAACGTACACAGGGCAAAACATATCGGGTTTAGAACATTCTTGTTTAACACCGATCACGATAGCGGGGACCACTCGGTCCATTACGTGCTGTGGGTCTGCACTTTCTCTCCCCATTGTTTGCATGCTAAATGAATGAGGTAAACCAATGCGTAGACCAAAAATCAAAATTGTTTAATTTTTTTTTTATTTATTTTGTGAAGTTTTACTCAACAATCTTCATTGTTTGGCTGATAAACTGAATTATGGTGGACTATGGTTGTTTTATGGGCTGTGGCTTTCTATGTGCTCTTTATTAGCGAAATGAATCCAAGAAAACCTCACCTGAATCTGAAATCGCTTGCAACTGGCCACAACGGCCATCAGTGCTGATGTTAACTGTCTTTATTCTGCAAATTATTAATATGTGCTTATAATGCATCCTTTCAGATTAAGCCATAAACAGAAGGAAGCTGTAACCTTCCTGCTTGCTTCTTTCTCTGCAGGTCTACTCTTGTTCAGCAGATGGCACTATTAGACTGTGGGACTTCATTGATGGCATCCTTATCAAGGTAGAGTAAAGAAAAAAGTGTCAAAAGCTCAAATCTGGGTGTATTGACTTTAGAAAAACATCTTAATTTCTGTTTCATCCATTGTTTCTTTCTTTAGACGTTTGTTTTTGGATTCCCGATATTCTCTGTGTATGTCTCAGAGAAACATGTTGGAGTCATTTTTGTTACTATTCACATGGAAACTGAGAAACGTGGCGGTAAGTATTAGACTTAATCTGTCCTGATGTGATTGGCGTAGAGCGGTGGTTCTCAATCATGGCCTGCAGGTTATACTGTTTTTCCCTGGTCTAAAGTGCTGCTAGGGCAGGATAAGTTGTATGTGAAGAGATGAGGTAATGAAATTTTACTCAGGACGTCTGAAATGTTTATTTCTGATTCCCACAGGATAAGAATTCTTGGTATAAATTACGGGGGGTGGCGGTGGCTTGTCAATTTTACATTGTCATCACACCAAAAAGTTCCATATACATTATGTTTGGCTGCACAAGTAGAAAATGCATTCAGACATTTAATTTGATCGTAATTTGATTCACCCTAACCATCGACAGGGCTAAAGCCCTATTTAGGCTGGATTTGTTTTACCAGAGGAGCTCCAGTAACGTAATTTGACTGGTTGATTTGTAATGGATTAAGTAACTGTATAATTTCCCCAAATTACCTCAGGCAGCCCATATCGAAACATCAGCGTTTACGTCACGGTTATTGTAGGAGCCAAACGCAGACACGAGTAAAGAAGTTGCTTCAGCCACCACAGAATGTTGTTCAGCTCACACATTTATCATTCAAATTAAACAGGTCCAATCAAACGAACAACAAAAACTAACTCCCAGTTAATACCAGCATTAGCCTAGCGAAGAAGACTCATTCACCTGATTCACCAAATGACACCTGAAAGGACAGAAATCTCAGGGCCACTTCAGTAGGTGTGTTTACATGCACTCAGTAATCCAATCATAACCCGTTTCCTGCAGTTATCTGATTATTCGAATTGTCATGTAAACAGCATACTCTGATTTCTTAGATCAGAGTAAGGTCTAGAAATCTGATAAAGAGAGCTGGATTTTAGCTCAGTAATCAGATTTCTCAGTCCAAAGCAGAAATCCGATTACTGCCCGACTCATGTAGACCAAGAGTTTCCCCATTATCTGATTGCTTAAGTTCACGTAAACATGTTGATCGGATCACTCACAAAATCTGATTTTCTGCAGTTATCGGGTAATTAAGTGCATGTAAACGCACTCATTGTCACTCCCCTTATTAGGTCATCAGCAAAATGTCGATTATAGTATTATTATTATAATTTTTTTTATAATAAATTGTCTCTCAATCGACAAAAAAGGTGAGGTGTGATCGTCTGATACTGGGATTTGTTATTACATTACCATGAGGTCATTTCAAAAGGAGCTCTGATTTTGAAGAATTATGGAAGGCAGTTTTCTCTGGAATTATTACTTGGCAGACTTGTTAGAACTGAGGATATTGTACTGGAGTAAAACCAGCTGTGTTAAATTTCACCAGTAATTGCTCAAATTACACTGCTTCCTCAGGCAAAACGAATCCATCTTGAATAGGGCTCAGCACACCTGGTTCACTTCGGGATGGGTTAATAATAATAATACGTTTAACTTGTATAGCGCCTTTCACAAACCCAAGGACACTTTACAAATCAAGAAGAGTAAAGAGAAGAAAAAAGGAACGATTATAGCAGAGATTTGAAGGCAGACATAGTCAAGCAATTACAAAGAGTAGAAGGTAGAGAATTTGAGTTCGGGGGCAGCAGTGCTGAAAGATCTGCCATCCAAAGTAGAAAGTCTAGTTGAAGGAACTGTGAGGAGTCCAGAATTAGAAGATCAGAGAGAACGAGAGGGACAATATAATGAAATAAGATCAGAAAGGTATGTCGGAGCCAGACCATGTAGAGCCTTGAAGGTAAAAAGAAGGATTTTGTGCTTAATCCTAGAACTAATAAGAAGCCAGTGCAATTGAGTAATATGAGCTGTGCACTTTTGTGGAGGCAAGAACCCTGGCTGCTGAGTGAACAGTGATTTACAGTAAACAATGCGAGAGAAGATGAAAGCATTAATCAACATTTTAGGTGACCAGCTTAATGTGAGACTCAAAAGAGTGAGATGAATCAAGAAGACAGCCAATTAGTTCATTAGTTGCATTAAGTATGATGGGAGCAGGGAAAACTCTAGAATGTGCATGGCAGAGGAACTGTAGGCCCAGGATTGAGAACCACTGCTGTGGAGCAAGATTAGCTGGCATATTTTGGCGTGTTATGAGCCTTCATTGGCAAGTGATTGCTAGTTTTTGTGACCCTTTGCTGCATGATTTATGCTCAAGATGTGTTTGCAGACACAAGTTTCAAAGTCTGTGTTTGTGTCTCCAGAGAACTTCCAGTTGGTGGCCTTACATCTTCCCAAAGTGCCGGAGCAAGAGGTGGAAGCAAGAGAGATGTCTGCTGTTTTGTGTAATATCAGCTCCAACCCTGGTTCCACAGCCATGGGCCGAGGGGTGAGTGTTGTTAGGGCTGTTTTGGAGCACCTTGAGGTCTCTTGTATGGCCTCTGTTTAAGAGCTAGGCTTTGAGTACCTAAGTGGGTGGAATTCATGAATGAGAATAAATATGTTACATAAATATTGTTTGTAATGGGTTTGTTTGTTTAGTGCTTGTTCAAAGGAAGCCTGAGGAAGCTGTACAATATTTGTCCATGTAATTGTTTGCTGTTACAGCTTAACCATTAGGGGCTAAAACTCACCCTAGAACAACAGTCATGTTGTTATTTTTGTCATCTTGGAACATTTCATTGTGAAACTTGGGCAGGTTTTGCAAGGCATGAAAGTAAGATAAGTATGGAGTGATAATGTCCACTAGACTTAGGGACTCAGCATCTCTTTACTATAATAAGCGCAAACCTAAACTAGGGATGAGTCAGAACATTCAAATGTTCATGAATGTTTCATTAAATCAATATTAAATTAGCTTTTTAAATATGTAAATGAGCTTTTCAAAAAAGTTTTCGTATTTAAGAACCATGAGGTATCTGAACTCTGCCTCTTGCGTTTTAGACAGTTTCTGATGTGTTTAGTCCAAAGAAGGAAGCACAGAAAGACTACTGCAATCGGCTAAAGGCTGCCACACACTGTTATTGATTTGGCTTTTTGTCCCCCCCCCCACCCCAATAATGCCATACAAATTTGAATATCAAATTTGACTGAAATGCCCACCTCTAACCTAAACTAACATTTTTTTTTTTTAAACTCAAAGCTAAGATTTCAGAACAAACTGATTTTCTTGTACTTTGTCAAATGCATTTACGTGTTTTATTTTTGCTTGTTTGGTGAGGATGAGCACTGTGGCTGTATTGCTATCATATACTGTAGTTAGTCACAATATGCTGGTCTGAACGTATTGTGGGCATCGTCAGTTCTTAGAGAATCCTCACTAACTGCGTGTTTCATTACAAAGTGAGGATAATTGGCCCTGTTTAACTGGATTCAGTGCAGTATGGGAAACATTAAATGAAAATCATTGTATTCGTAGTTTTTGTTTTTTAAATGCAGCACTACAGGGTTTTGTCTTGTACCACCTTATCACTCCTCTGAAAACCTAATGTCTTGAAAATGTTTTCAAGTATTGCGATATTACATTTTTGCCATATTGTCGCAACCCTACTTATATATGGGGGCAGTCATAGGCTGGAGGATAGGAAATAAGTCTTGTGACCAGAAGGTCGCCAGTTCGATCCCCTTGGCCGACAGTGCGTTACTGAAGTGCCCTTGTGCAAGGCACCTAACCACCAGCTGCTCCCCGGGTGCTGCGGATAGGGCTGCCCACCGCCCCGGGCAAGTGTGCTCTCTGCCCCCTAGTGTGTGTGCATTCACTAGTGTGTATGTGGTGTTTCACTGCACGGATGGGTTAAAATGCGGAGGTGAAATTTCCCCGTTGTGGGACCAACCAACTAAACTATATATATTTTTATATTTGTTTGCAGGGTGAATATGTTGCCACTGTTGTGGGTCTCCAGCTCAGCGTGTATTTCTTCAGGAAGCAGAAGACGTACCGGTAAATCGCACACTAACAGTGATGCAGCTGTTCTTTTAATAGATCCTGTGAGGTCAAGGGCGTGCTAGAACATGCCCAGTCACAGTGCTTATTTACATGCCTCTGTCAGGGGGCCCATGTTTTCCTGTTTGACTCTTCCACAGTTTCCAATTACGCAGTTTCCAATTACCAAGGTGCCTTTTTTTGTGGACAGGGGAGTGACAAAGTCCGCTGTCTAATTCTCGTTTATTTTTAATGAAGGTTTTCCTTGAAGGCCACTGATAAGAAAGGTGCCAAAAACGCCTTCACGTGTGTAGCCTGTCATCCTAAGGATGACTGCATCGCTACTGGGCACGAAGACGGCAAGATCCGTCTCTGGTGAGTGAGTGGGTGGCAGATGTGAATCACTCAAATTAAGTTCCTCATTTGTTTTATTACAATGTATTTGCCCTGTTTTTCTGTTCATATAATACTATCCTATCAAGAAAAAAGTTGCTTTGTAAGGTCAGTGAACCGTTCTAAGCACCTGCTCGGGAGAAGGAAAAATAAAATTTAAAAAAAAAAAACACGTCTAAGTTTCACATGTTTGATTTCTCTATCTTTTTCCTCGTGAACAGGAGAAACTTCAATCAGAAAAAAGAGTACACATATTCCACTCAGCACTGGCACCACGATGCTGTGAGCGCCTTATGTTTTACCCCAGAAGGTACGATAACTTACTCACAAGCACTCTCTAGCTTTCACACGTCTTGGGAGGATTTTTTTTCTTCGTGGAATTTTTTCCGAATCTGGCTTTTAAGCAGCTCCTGTTCTCTTCTGCTACCTGATCCTTCTGTACAGGCATGCACCTGCTGAGTGGTGGCGTGGAGTCTGTGCTCGTCCAATGGCATTGTGACGAAGTGAACAAGAAGGATTTCCTTCCTCGTCTGGGCGGAGCCATCTCTCATATCTGTGTGTCTCCAGATGGACAGATGTACAGCACGAGCCACTCGGACAACAGTAAGAGCTTCAACGCATCAGCCGGCTCAATAGACAGAGGGGTTTACCAATATGATAACCGATAATAGCACCTCAGTGTGGTCGATAACATCAATAACCAGTCATTGTTCTTTCTCGTGCATTTTCTATAATCCAGTATGTGAAGTGCATTGAGCATGAAATTAGTTAAAGCTCTAAAGCCATTGATTCATTATGCAAAGTCATGACTAGCCTTGAGCTGGTAATTGATATTAGTCCTTACAAACATAGATTTTATTTTGGTGGTGTGCCAAAGTATATGGAGACCTGCCGAAGTATATTTCAACCATTTAAAACATTTTTTGGAAAAAACAGGCTTATTTTGTCCACTTCGTGAGTGTAGCTCAGGTCATAAGAGGTAAAGTGTGAGAGACTGAAGGAGGCAGAGTGAGAGAAAGTGGAGTGGAGGCGCCAGCAGGAGAATAAGCAGCGCTTACACTGCTACTACTAACTAGGACAAGAAACTAGCACAAGTGTCCTGGCTGAATTTGCTTTCTCTTCATTCGAAAGAATGCCAGGTTGCAGCTGCGCTAGTGATTTATCTAATATTTACTGAACAGATGAGTACTGAGAAATGTTTTAACAAGAAACCGCAAGGTAGCAGATGTAAATTCACAGAAACGTGCTTTGCGGCCAGTAAGCCTTAAACATTACTGAAATACAGTCTGAAGAAATAGCTCTTTATATTAGAAAAGTTCATTTGGTCATTTCTGTGGTTGATATATAAGTAAAAGGTGACATTTGAGTCTACTGCTGTCAAGCATGACACTTCAGTTCGCCGTTATTCCCCTGCAGAGTGTAAAAACATTCTTCAGTTGTCAACCTGCTGGAGCAAAATGGATCTAAATACTGTCTTTTATAGCACTCACACAGATGCCAAGTTAAAACTCAGACAAGCAACAAGTCAGACCATCTGTTTGTTTTTTTTATATATATATATATATATATATATATATATATATATATATATATATATATATATATAAATATAATGTGTGTGTACTTACAGTATGTACTTACTTAAAATTTGTATACATATATTTTATTTGACAGATTATAGTTTCACAGGGGAAAAATGCTCATACCCAAAAAAGACCAAGACCTAAATTAAGCACGTAAATATGTCTTACTGTTACAATTTGTTTGCTTTTGACATACCTGCTTAGTTTGTAAATGAAAATCTGTGATATTGTAATAGCTGATTGCAATCCTTGTTATAAATTACATGCATATAACATGTTATATGCATGTTATTAATTTATGCTTTAGGTTCATTGCCATGCCCCCCACCTCAGCACCACATTGTATTTTAAATCTCTGAGAACCTATTATTGTATATCATGATAATATAAATATTGTGTGAACATTATGCAAATGATCATTCTTTCATTTGCTTTAATGTGCCATGTACTTTTTTTTTTGGTTTTATTTTTTTTTTCTCCTTCAACTTGATGCTTTGAACGATGCCCAGCTCTAATTGTGCCATGAAAATTTAAGTTGTCCCTCTTTTCCCTCTAATCCCTGACAGAGATCAACATCATTCATTGCAGCCTGAAACTGTCGGCGGTGATTCAGGGCCTGGTCAAAGGTGTGCAGTTACAGCCTTTTTTTTTTTTACTTTACTGTGACTCAGCTAAACGATTCCCTGCCTGTAACCTTAGCTCTTTTCCTCTGTTTCTCTTTCAGGAAACATTTGGACGGATCTGATGATCGACCCACGCACCAGGGCTCTGGTGATGAATGGAAGGCCGGGACACCTTCAGTTCTACTCTCTACAGCAGGACAAGCAGCTTTACAGTGTAAGCATGCAAGAGCAAACACAAGGGGCAGGTTACCTTGACTCCTGGCTACAGTGACCCTGTGTTGTGATTCAGCCCAAATGTCTTTGCATCAACAGCTTCCCGCTCCCTTGCAACATCATTTTGCTTAAGAATTCATTACAACCAAGAAGTTGTCAAGTTCGTTAAGAGTTCACTTGCTTCTTGTTAAGTGGGTCAGCTGGCAGCAAGCACATGCCTGAAGATGATTGGAAAGAAAACAGTTGTTATGGAAGCCTAAGAAACATTTAATGAGAAATTTTCGGTTCCGTCTTCTAATGATTGACACTAGCTGTTTTACGTGCATACAGTAATCTAAGTCCTTAGTTTAGGGAACTGGACTGAAACAAAAATTTTGGCATTGCATCACAGTGTGCTTTTCTGAGCACATTTTGGATGTCACCAGTACTTACAAAACAGCAACCACCTGTTTCATTAGAGCATAATTATCCATCCATCCATCCATCATCTAAACCGCTTTTCCTTCTGGGTCGCGGTGGGTGCTGGAGCCTATCCCAGCTGTCATTGGGCGGAAGGCAGGATAGAGCATAATTAGTCCTGCTTAATTTGATTTAGTGCGGCACAGTATGTGAAACGTTTCATAAAAAACGTATTCATAGTTTTCCATAGCATTTTTTTAAAGGACTCGTATCATTGAAAACTGAAACTTTCTCACATATTTTACATAAAGGAGTTTGGAGTAATACGAAAGCATAGTTTCAAAACGTACCGCTCGCTCCCTAGTCCATACAGTCCATCCATGGAAACTAAGCTGCAAAAAGAGGGTAATGTGTATGCGCTGTTTGTGTGAAGTCATAAAAACCAATGCATTATATATTTGCAGCCTACAGTAGTTTAGCTCTGCCCGCTCATGCTGAAGTTTTCAGGAGTGCTTCAGGGCAGACTGCTTTCTGAATGAAGCAAAATACAGTGCAGCTAGTCGTTACAGAGCCTGTTTACATATATAAGTCTTAAAGGTACAGTAGCAAAAACAGCCTGTTTAATAAGAGATAAAGAGAGAAAATGATCATGTAAAAATTATGACTGTTTTCACACACAAACTCACAAAAATGACCATTCAAATATAGCAGTAATGAATACTTTTTCCAGACCTTAGACCTTTTTCTAGAGCTTATCAAACCACAGAAAAACTAAACATCGTGACACGTCAAGCAATGAAATATCTTGATTTTATACTTTGGCTATATCACTCACCCCTCATGGTCTAAAAGTCTGTTTATAGTCTTTTTTTTATGTGCATGCCAGTACAGTCTTACCTATAATGTATTCCACCCTCTTCGTGACGCACCTAAGTTTACACGCATATGATGTGGATTTCTTTTAAAATGTTCTCTTCCTCCACTCCGTAATAAGAGCTGGTTTATAAATCGCTTACGCATGTTTTTGTGTCATAAAGCTGTCATAAAATGTTGCATAAATTCCATGTCAGAATCTGTGCACTGATGTAAGCATTTACATGTCCAAATCTATCTCCAGTAGTCTGGCAAATATTCACCTGGGCCACATTTTAATAGCCGTGAGCTTAAGTTGACCTTAGTTGGACAAGGACAAACAACCTGTATTGTTTACATGATCGTATCTTGGATAGACAAGCAGGCTTAGGGCCGTCACGCACCAAAATAAATTTATTTGTGCAGTTTATTTAGACAAATTATTTAGTACATGTGTATAACTGACGATATCTTCCACACCAAATGTGTGTGTTTGGGTTTTTTTGTTTTTTTTTGTTTTTTTAATATATATGAACCAGCTGACCAATCACTGCCCTCTCTGGCATTGTCATAGCAACAACTAAACTGACAAATTGGCTGTGTCCCAGCAATCTTGAACTTTTTATTAAATGTCAAAAGGATCAGAGTCTCCAAAACCAGCTCAAACAGGGCTGAACCTGGCTGTGAACATCTGAACCATGTGCAGAAGCACTCAGAGTTTCAGCTTCTGAATGAGGTGATGAAGCTCTTCACACTGTTTTCACTTTAAAGTAGAAAGTAGCCCAATCTCCCTGTTTACGCTATGTGTGAGGAGTCAAGGATACCCAATTGTACTTTGTCAGGTGTGGAAGTGTGTCTCCAGAAATCCACTTAAAGTTGGCTGAGATCCCAGCTTTGTTTGGAAGCACTCATAAAGTTTTATCTCCTTAACTAGGTGGTGAAACTCTCCGTTCTCCTATTGCTTTCCTAAAATGTAAAGCATCCGTTACAAAGTCAGTTTGACTGTTTCACGAGAAGCAAAGGTGTCTTTTTGCTAGACATTGTGCCCATTTTTTCGGTGTGTAACCGCCTTTATGCTCATATCGAACCATTGCTATGTTTACATTGTTGGGCATAACCAAATTAAATCACTGTGAAAATGCCTCTTAGAGCCCTTCCTAAACATCACAGTGAAAATGTATTCACTTCAAATGCTGTGTTGGTTCCCTGGGTCTAAACAGAACAGTGTTCCTTTAAAACTTTCACACTGCTACAAGCTGCTGCTCATTACATGGGGAAGTGTATAAAGCGTGAATGGTCACATGCATCGGATCCAGGGGTCCACTGAAAAGTGAAACTTGTTGTAAGCATCTTGCGATCACATGAGCTGTAGAGCCATTTAATGTGAACCCGTCTAGTCAAGGCTCTCACGGTGCATGAAATCCATGTGAAAGCAAGTTTTTGCAGAAGTCCGCAAACCTTTTCAGAGCCACACCTTCACTCTTGCTGTCGCTGTCTATTTTTGCTTAATGGAAACAAACCATGGTTATGAAAGATTAAATGAAGGAGTCATTCTTAAACGTAAAATTGTCATGTTGTATCAGGATTATCTCATGACCTCCAGGTTGAGAATCACTGTGCAGATGGAAATATACAGTGGTTAACTTTCAGCAGTAGGACTGTGTCTGTTTATAGACATAGGTCTCCCTATGAGCTCCGTAACGGCTCTCCACCTGCATCTTAAGAGGTCTCTCTTCCCACCACAAATAAATCTCCATCTTCGTTCACAGTGGTGGTTGCTTATCATGTACTGGCTAGCATTTTTGAGTCATGCTCAGAGGTGTTGGTAGTTTTTGATGCCATTTTTTCTTCTCTACCAAAAGTTCAGTCTTCTATTTTTATAAAATAAACATAATTAAGGCACAAGTTTATTCAAATGATTCAGAAGCATTTAGGTGTAAAGTTTAATGTTGGGTAAAACTCCAAAATGTGTTTTTAACTGTGGCTTTGAACTTGTTTGGAACAATGATCCATATACTCCTCTTTAGTTACTGATTTAAAGTCTTCAGTATTGCTGTTGGACACGCTGCCCTACATACAGACACAAACACTGTTACGCTGATAAAGACTCTTCACGCTATAGTCACCTACCATTTTAAATCGGTTTTGAGAACTGAAATGTAATGTTTACAGACTCATACGTAGTTACATTTACTGTAGTCTGTCTCTCCAGCTCTCTGAAAGCCTGACTGTTATGAAGGAGCTACTGATGCTGCTGTTTCAGAATCAGTTTTGACAGCTTATGCACACTAAACGTTAACATGAATGATATTACCGCTCAAACACTGAAGTAATTAGACATGGTCATGTCAGTTAACTTACACAGGAAAACAGAAATACGATTAATTTCTGTTTTCTGATGGATGTTCTCACATTAAACTGTCAGCACCTGTAATATATTTTAATTCTCCCAGTCATTAAAGTAACAGCGTGGTCATAGAGTGACATCACGTGAGACAGAGGAATAGTGTGGTGTGCTTGTAAAGGCTGGGAATCAAACCCCAGTCTGCCAAGTGGAGGTAAATGCTATTATCCACTGTGCTATATCTACCCCCTAAATAGGAGGAATTTATGATTCCTGATATGTAAAATAATGTATAATAGCATCTGAGCCAATTTGAAAAGGTTTATCTTTTAAAACCTATTCAGATCTAATTTTTAAAGCCTGAAATCTTCAGAGTATTTAAATTTATTCATGTTTTCCCCCTGCAGCTGGACATTGTGCAGCAGGAGTACATCAATCAGGAAGGACTGGACCAGTTTGAGGTGATGAAGGCAGCATTCAGTGTCGGAGGCACTTGGCTGGCGACGGTAGAGGAGAGGGGACGCAACACATCAGATCTGGAGTTTTCTCTGAAACTTTGGGGCTACAATGAGAAAGCTCAAAGGTACACCGGTTATGAAATGCTTATTTGAAATGATCTGCACCCTGTTTATTTTGACCATGTGTAAAGAGTTCTCTAATAAGGCACCTTGATCTGAAATTCATCATTCAAGGAGGTCATGCTTTGGAAGTAATCCATCTGTTTTCTGACTAGTATCAAAAAAACCTTAACAGTACAGTACCACAGTATTTCCTTATGAAAGTCTTTTTTTCCCCTTTGCCCTGAACTGTACTGTACCTGTCTGTACCTCCCTAGCTTTGAGCTGAACACCACCATAACGACCGCCCACCAGGACAGGATTACGTACATGTGCTTCAGCCCCTCCACAGAGACCACCATGCTGGTGACCACAGCCTGGGACAACCAGTTTAAAGTCTGGCTACTGGGACCAGACTCGGACACACAGAGTGAGTCACGCCCTACAGATGCTGATTTACACACCAGAGCTGGATTTTCCAAGAATGCAAAAGCCTCTGTAACAGTCATTGTTATTGTGTTCATAGCGAGCTTTGCGATTAATCACATTTTGTGCAAATTTGATGGACAAATTAAGCTTCATCTGAATGTATTAATTACTTTTAATAATTTAATAACATTATTTGCTTTGTGTGAACGCACATGAAAAGCCTGTGACGTCCTTCAAAAAAAGATATAGTTTTTCTATTTATCACCAGCGTTCAGTGAGGCCTACAGTGGCTGCATGTTCCAGCCAGTGAGTGTGTAAATCCTATACATCATATATACAGTCAATGGTTAAAAATCCTCAGATTGTAGCCTCTCACTCTCGTTCGTACTGCTCGTGGATTCTTGTTTCAGTAGGGGCTCTCTTTCCAGGTTGACATTCCTTTTGTTAGGTTTGCTCCTGGTTTTATCGAAGGTGCTGAATGTATCAAAAGGTATATTTAAAAGCTGTTTAGATGTGGATTCTGTCATATGATTAATTCAAAGGGTCAAACTAGGAAAATGCACCAACTACTGTAAAGAAAAAAATGAATGTTGTTCATTTTTTCACATTACGCTCCGGCCTCACACACTTAAAGTGATGGTTCTTCAAGGATTCTGAACCATGAACACTCAAAGAACCTTTTGCATGATTAAAAAGTTCTTTGCATCATGAAAGTGTTCTTCAGATTGGCTGAGAATGTGCTGTAGATGATTCTATATAGAACCTTTTTGACCACTCAAAGAACCTTGTTAACAGCACCAAAAAGGGTTCTTCTTTTGTTATAAGCTTTTTGGTGCTGTATACAAGGTTCTTTGGGTGTTCGTGGTTCTATATAGAACCATTTTCTTTACTCAAGAACCATTTTTTATGGTTATCATTGTAAGAGTGTAATTTAAATATATATATTTTTTGAAGTATTAGATGTGATTACAAAAAAAGAAATAGATGTGTTAATCTTATTGCAAGAATTCATTAAATGACAGGCTTGTTTCTTTTCTTTGTTCAGTATTTACTATTATATTTTTCTTTAGTTCATCTTTCTTTATTAGTATTGCTCTTCTTGCGTTATTGTTTTGCTCCTCTGGTGTTGTCCAGACCGGACGGAGGATGAGTACCCTTTTGAGTCTTGGTTCATCTCAGGGTTTCGTTGTCTTGCTCTTAGGGAGTTTTCCTTGCCACTGCCATCCTTGGCTTGCTCTGTTGGGGCCTCGACCCAGATTTTCTAGCATTTTTAATTCAGGCCCATTGAAAAAAGCACTATATAGATACATTTGAATGAGTGGTTGAATTGTGACACTTATGTTTTTACATGGGTCATAAAATGTTCAGGCAATTTTCCTGTCCACATTTTACCTTCATGCCTTGTGTAACTCCATTCTGGCTCTTGCCCCACAGCTTTTGCTTGAAGCACAGCACTGCAGATCTGCATGGCGTGCACTGGAGGTTTTTGTGTGCGCTTGAGGTTGTGGAAGCCCCTCCACAAGCTTCTCGTTACTTGTTCAATCCTTCTCTGCTTCTCTATGCAAATGCATTCATGTGCATCTTCACAGAAGTATAAGGTGTGAAGCTGTTGAGAAGCTATTGATTTGACTGCAGTGGATAACAAAGGCTGTTCTGCTGTAGAGGGTTTGGGAAATGTAGCCATGTTGATTTTGCATTAGCACAGACACAGAGACCTCATTCCAGTCCAAATTGGATCGATCGCTTGTTCACTTCCCCTACTCCCTTCCTCTCAGAAGAGCTGTAAAACATTGATAAACAAAGCTGCTGTTTCTGAACATAATGGTCCTTAAAGTTGTTCTTGTTTTGGCTACAAGTTAATGAGTTGTATCTGATCTTTATTTATGAAGTGAAAGGTGTGAATAAAGATAACGGCTCCAGTCAAACTGATTTTTGGTAAAGTAGAAGCTAATAAGGCAAGTGAGACAGAGTTTCATTTTTCTGAACTGGAATTATGCCCCCCCCCAATACTGACCTCAGCTTTTTCTTGTTTGTGCTGTAGAGGAGCAGGCGTCCTGGTCATGTGACTATGTGGGCAGCTACCATGGCCTGCAGCCCACTAACTGCTGTTTCTCCAGTGACGGCTCTCTTCTGGCTGTAAGCTTCAAGGAGGTGGTGACCATCTGGAGTTCAGACACGTGGGGGCTTTTGACCACGCTGTGCCAGCCCCCAGGGCCTATCAGGTGAGGCCTACATCACAAACAAGGTGCTTGTTGAAAATGGCACAGCACAAGGGTTGGCACAGAATGCCACAGGCAGTGTTGCTCAGCACTCTCTACAAAGGCTGAAGAAACAGTTTGGCCGAAAACAAATTTGCACACCTCAAATATAGTTGGTCATTCCACACATTTAGTGTCTAAAGTTTGCTTCTTTAGTTTTGCACTGGAGCAATGAAGCTAACAAGTAACGAAATCTTATATATCACTTTGCAGACTAGATTGCCTAAAATATGTACAAACTGCCTAGTTAAGTAGTCTCATGTAGTACTTTATCATAATGAGACTGTATAATATTCTGTTATGTAAGAAAAAAGAGGACAGAATTCAGGCTCTGAGATGACTGCTGCTACTGTTTTAGTTGTATCAGTCTTGTGTGTTTTTGCACATTTTTATAGATAATCCTGTCAAACAGTGTGAGAAACCACATAAGCAAGTCCGTTTGAGCTTACTTAACAACTGAAGGTAGGCTGAGGCAGCTGTTACCTGTGTTGGTATGTTCTTATGTGACTAGCAGTCTGTGCGCCAACTTTCAGGGTTAAAGTTAAGTGAATTAGCTGTTATAGGCTACAATATCTCACCATTTATTCCTAAAACTGTGTCAGAACAATCAGCAGAGCTCCACAACAAATTCTGTTGTGGAGCTGCAACAGGACAGTAAAAGAGCCGCATGCGACCCCTGATCTAGGCATTCAGTTTGCACTGTGCTAACCTGGAGGCTATAATCTTTTAATACGTTTTAGGTCCATTAGCGCCGTAGCTTCAATGCAAAACTAAAGAAGCAAACTTTGGGCTCCAAACATATTTTGGCTCGGGATGGGGGCTGTGGGGAGAGTTGTGTAAATCTATTAAGATAGTACACAAAAACATTACATTGATAAAACTGTAGAAACAGTATTAGCATCCATTTGAATTTATGAAGGTTTTTAATTGTTCTAAGAGAACAGTGTGTTACATTTACAGCATTTGGCAGACGCTCTTATCCAGAGCGACTTACAATTGAAACATTTTTGCACAGGTAGTGTTAGGAGTCTTGCCCAAGGACTCTAATTGGTATAGTGTAGAGCGCTTACCCAAGCAGGGATTGAACCCCAGTCTACGGCGTAGAAGGCAGAGGTGTTACCCACTATGCTATACCAACAACATTTCTGTCTTCATATCCTATTTTAGGCATGCAGTTTGTGCTAAACTGCTGGCTTTAAACTTCAAGTATTTGTTAACATTAGCCTTGTAGCTTCAGTGCAGAACTAAAGATATAAACTTGGGACTCTAAACATGTTTGGGGGTTGGAATGAGGATGTGGGAAGCTTGTGTAAATTTTTTGGGGCCAAATCATTGCTTTAAGATGATCTTAGCAATACAGTGCTGTAGCCTAGGCCACAAAAGGTTGCTAGTTCTGGTTTTAGCCTACTGTATTTGGGTTAAATTCCTGAAATGAAGCCGGCTGCCAGATCAGGATCAGAGTGCTTTGTAAAGCTGGCACCGTGCACAGTTGGTTTACACATGAAGAACACCGTAGGAACATGATGTAATATCTAGGCTTAATCTTTGGATCCGTTTATTTGTTAACTTGGGTCTTTTGAGGTCTCTAAATGGGATGTTTGTCCGTCACACCAATAAGAAGGCCTTGGCCTTTTCCAGGAGAGTGCGCTCTGTTCTCCTGAGTTTAAATTGGAAGTCATAAGGATGTAGTTATCCGGATGCATTAGTGTGCTGCATTTTTGGATTGTGCAATAGAATGAATCAGTGACTGCATGAAAGATACAAAGCTAGGAGCAGTTACTTGCAGTTATTGAACCAAAAAAAGAGGAATAGTCTAATTGCAGTAGGTCCTGATTCTGAAATATCAGCCCGGTCTGATTTGGGAAATTTTGCTGACATCATGTTGAAATAATTAGGTGGCAGTAGAAGGTACATTTCAGATAGCGTGAGTAAGATCAAGCTTGCGTGCCAGTAAGAGTTTTAGCGGATTTATCAGTCTCCAGTCTCTAGTACTGTTCTACTGCCAAAAATAATTAAATGAATTTATTAATGTACCAAAATTGCCTTTTTTTTGTACAATACATGAACTGTTAAAGCTTTTGATTGTCGTATAGCTAGAAATTATTGCCTTTATTGTTTGATGTTGGGGAAAGTGGTGTTCTAAAAACCTCTTTCTGCCAGCCAGGCTAATCTTGTGAAATATGTCGGGGAGTGTGACTGGCTCTTTAGGCTGGGTGGGCTGGGATATGATGGGTCAGAAAGACTGATCTCTAATTGCCTTTATCCTCCAGGGAACTTTGTTTCGGCCGGCTGAGCTGCTCCAAGTACCTGCTCGGCACCACCGCCAAGAACCTCTTCTGCTGGAACCTCCTCACCTGCTCACGTCAGTACCCACTACTTCAGTGGTTCCCAAACATTTTACAGTCCTGTGTCTCCTCAGTCTTTAAACCTCTTGCTGCTTTCACTCTGCTCACTAATGATGTTAGAGATGCAGAGCACAGGTATGTGAAAAAGAAGTAAACTAATTTGTAATCCAAAAAGCCCCAGCACAGGTAGTGGTCATTATGAGGGCACATGCCTGTCTGTGTAAGAGTCACAGCTGTAAAATAAACAGGGAATAACAGTGTTCATGAGCATTTGCCATGGGTCACATACATCACATCATCTGCTAAGCATTTAAAAGGACTAAAATGTGTACGGCTAAGCAATATTCACAGCAGGCTACAAACAAATGAATCACTGCAGTTGTTAACAAGCCCACATCTGTGAACGTGAACCTAACTCGAGTACGAGGACGCATGCTTTTTATGACAGTTAATAAAGGACACTGACTTCACGCGCAAAACTGAACATGATGAACTAACGTTGTATTTCCTGAACGTGTGGTGCACTGAAGGAACCAGAGTGAAACACCTTTTCAAACACGGCCTAGAAATAATAATAAACAAAGATTAAGAATACCTATACCTATTAGAGCACGGGTTTGCCTTGTGCTGCATGTTATAAATATCACTCTCACTTATCACTTATTTCGTGCATATATGGCAGCATATTCTGAATATTTTTTTTTAATTCAAATGCAAATTTGAAAATGCTAATTACATTGCATAGTTACGATTGCATTCCCATGTAAGTGTGCACTATTCAAGACATATTTCAAATGCAAAACATGCACTTTGCATTTTCATTTCTGTGCGTAATGTCTATAAAAATTGAATGGAAAAGCAAAGTATGTGTTATTTTTTTTTTAATTGTTTTAACTGTAGGTCTCTGACAATAAAAATGGAATAACAGTTGCCTATTTACAATCGGATTTTCTCATTGTCCCTTTTCAGCTCTGCCAAAATTAAAATTGTATTTGCCATCCTGTCTGCAGTCGCACTTTCACAGTCACTGAGACACTCCTGTCACTACTGAGGGACTTTTTTAAGTGTAGGGTGTCTTTTAAGGGGAAGTGAAGTAAAAGTCTCAACTTTGCGCCAGTACCGCTATAGCTAGACACTTGTTGAGAATACTGAGTTAGCAATAGCACTGAGCCAAAGATAAATCTGTTAAGGGATTTTAATGTTGTGCTCTGATAATGTAATTTGTGTGTGATTTGAGTGGCCGATTTGCACAGGATAAAGGGTCTGTGTAATTACCCCGGATAGCCCAGATCGAAACATCATTGCACAGACGTCAGCATTATGCGACGGGCGCCACACTTCCAAACAGTAACAACACATTGTGCAGCTAAATGGCAAATATGGACAAAAAGCAACACTGGATATAGGACGAGACTTACATCAAATTGTGTGGATTTCAGTAGTCTTGTCGTGAATTTGGGGATTAAGGCGTGGGTCAAATCAAGCTCCATTTAGCTGTTAGCCTTGTCTTCAGGCCACAAAAAAGTCGCCTTTTTTGTTGCCTGGTTTTATTACATTACTTAGTGTTGATTCGAGCAGGACTACTATCACTGAGGGAGCTCTGAGTTCAGAGAATTATAGAAGGCAATTCACTTCAGAATTATAACTTAGCAGACGTTTAAAAACTACAGACATTGCAGATTCACACTGGATTAAAATCACCAATCTAATTGGTCATCACTGAAATTACAGCACCCAGGTAAAACTAATCCAGCTTGAATAGGGCTCCAGACACACCACGTGTAAATGCAAGCAGTGCTGTTCAGAAATCTGCCATTGGCTTTGTAAACTCAGCATTCAAAGATCCGCTCATATATTTCAGTGAAACTCTCTTGTCCAGGAGTTGTTAAGCAGAGAGGAGGGATGAGAGAGCTGTTTGTGTCTTTGCGCATACCACAGTTTGAGAACCACCACACTACTCTGTGTGTATGTTACGCCAAAGGATCACCTGTAACGAAACTGACTTTGACCTGTGGCGTGTTTGCAGACAATCATCCTTTAGTAGTCAGTGTTGAACTGGGTTTTTGTGTTTGGACTGTTTGTGCTTTATTCCTGTATCCTTTACAATCACTGTTGACCATTTTCCTCATTTGCCTGTAGTGGAATGGAGCACGCCGATGGATGTGTGCTTGCTGCAGTCGGACCCCCTGTCTGAAAACGTGGTGGCCTTTAGCCTCCATTCTGGAAACACTGACTGTAAGTATACACAAGATCAGTTTTTTGAGATTCTCCGTTCACGGTGCAGTTTAATTCGAGATTAATGTGTGTACTATATTCATTCTCAGTAATTCCCCATTATTCTCGTTTTCCATTTCCAATCCCCACTCCTGAAGAATGCCTGCACTGTGCAATGCAGTGTTTTCCCAGTGTCTCTGCACCTGTTTAAATTCAGGGAGGATTTACTGAACTGAATTGATTCGACTGAGTTTAATCAGGTGTGTTAGAGATCGGAAAGTGCCGAATGGTGCAATGCAAGGCTGTTCTTGGCCTGGAAACAACTTGCATAAAATCTTGTTCAAACAGAAAATTGCCAGTTTGTTTAACCTTTCGAGGTTACCGGCACAAGGAACATTAACACACCAGCACTGTGTTCTCACTGCTGTGATGAAAATGATCCACCACACAAATGATATCCTGTACACTGATGGACAGGATGGGGGCAGGCTGATATATTGTTCAGCAACAGCTGGGCTACAGTCGGTAATTGAAAACCTACAAAGTGCACGTGTGGTATGTGTTTCTCATAAAATGGCCAATGAGAGAAGGAACAGAGTACAATGTGGCAGCTCAGTGTAACGCATTGGCAGCTGGTGGTCAGGTTTATGTATTAAGGAGCCCATATTCTACATTTTTCTTGTACTTATGATGTTTGTACGGTTGAATGACCTAAAAAGTCATTCATTTTTTACATGACCATTATTATCAAACTCTTCTGTTCCAAAAAGGCATGGAACATGTTTTTTATGTTACAGACCCTTTAAGCACTGTGACAGGAACAGAACATGCAAAGAGTGTCAGCAACCAGTCTGTAGCATCCATAGCAGTTGTACTATCAGGCTAAAGTCCAGTAGCACAAGGAGAATTACATAGTAAAACATTTATCTATCTTTGCACAATTTTTAAAATCTGTTTATCACACTGTCCTCTTTGGTCTAAATTAATTTACCACTTTAACAGCTTTATTTGGTACTAGTTTGTCTTACAACGCCCCGCATGTACCACTCAGCCATGAATGTATTTGGAAAAAAAATATTTTGGGCCAAAACTTTCTCAAATCTACCATAAAACAGTTTTAGGCAGTCGTAGGCATCAGGCAGCAAATTGGTAACTATTTCAAGTAATAACTTTCTGCGAGGGAGCTTTTAGAAACCAACACTTCAGATGTCTGGTTCTTATCACCACCACTGTAACCAATTCAGACATGCTAAGTTTCTCTTGGACAGAGCATTTCAAATAAAAGTACTTTGAATAATTTAGTTTACATTGTAACCATTAAAATGATGCAGAAATGTAGAAAAATGGATTAAAGTCCTCTTTAAGTTGCTTAAATGTTTAATACAGTTGAACATAGACGTTGATGGAAAATGGTGTTAACACGGTCTCTCTCCTCCGTGCAGTGTTTGTTTTCAGACCCAGCGAGCCCCGACCTCTGTTTACTCAGAAGGCCGTGTGTGGTGGAAAAGTGCAGCGCTGCGTCTTTGCTCCGAGGGAAGTGCCTCTGGACAGCTGTGACGAGAGATTCCAGTGGTTGAACAGATCCCGTCTTTACTTCCTCACAGAGCTAATGGTACCTGCTTAAGAATTAAGCACTGCCACGCACATGCCTGACCAGGCAGAATGCCACTCTTGACTGTTTTCATCCTTTTTTTTAAACCTCACATTCATGTTGTTACTGCTGTGGTATGTGCAGTGTTGTTTGAGGTTGTCCTGCCCTGTACAAATATGCCCTGAGCTGTATGGTAATATTGACTTTTCCTTATTTTAAGGAGTTATTGACGTTTAGTACCAAAGCGGAGGATGAGAGAATATTGAACTCAAGGAAGCAGGTCAGTATGTGTTTTATCAGCACTGTCCATGCGTCATGTTCCTCTATTGATTAGTCCTGTTTATTAGGGGTGTGAAATTTCAATTAATTTTGGTATATTAGAGTGTCTGTAAGAGTTAATTGCGGGAAGGAAAAAATAAAGGCAAAAAGTAACAGACATTGGACAACATTTAATGTCGGGCTCTGTAGGTCCACCTTTTAGGTGACCACATTGATGCTGCACAAAAACCTAACAGCAAACAGAGAAAAACATTTTAAAAACGTTTGATTATTCAAAAACAGATAAGTGAAATAGTAGGTTTCCCTGTTGGATGAGTAACAGAGGCTGCCTCTTTAAAAGAGCTAATGAGTTTACCAGTACAGCATTGGATGCTGATGGAGAACTTCGTCTTCCTCTTACAAGAGGTTGTTTCTCCTCAGTGGACAGTGTGCTAACAGTTAGTTTGTCAGATAAATATTTCTATGAAACACGAGTACATGATCCACCTATAAGCCAGCTATTTTTTAAAACAAAATTATTTGTATATTTTATGCTGTGGTCATCTGTTTACTTCTTTTTTTTACTCATTCTGGCCCTTTCTGTGGCCATCCTACTTCCTGTTTTGGCTTCCTTTTATATGTCTGCAGAGTCACGATAGAGTGTCGTGCTTAGTCATGATAAGGCTTAAGGGAAAGTCACTCGAGCGCTGTGGAATCCTGAGTTCTAACTGAAGGCAGCACATGCTGCTGTGTTTTGATTAAGTCTTCTTGCAGGAGTTCATGCTTATTGCCATTGTGTCATATTTCAGTTTTTCTGTCTAGTAAAGAATCTTTTCCTCTTAAACATTTGCATTACAGTCCTAGTAGAAATAATGTTGTGAGTGCAGGGTTAAAAAAAAGTGTTACATTTTAATGACTCTGCCCACAGAAGGTCATGCATGTTTTGCAGAGCGGTTTACTTTCCTCAAGTGTTTTCGTGGAGGGGGGTGGGTGCATTTTTGCTGCTTTTTAATTCCATCAAATTTCAGTTTGATGCAAATTGCAAGTTTCATGTTTTCAATATGCTGATGGAGATTCGTTGTCGTCTTCTCAGAGGTCTTTTCTCCTCAGTGGATGATGTCCTAACAGTTAGTTTATCAGATAAATATTTCCACCGTTTCTAGGCCTAGCAAAATCAGTTAGAGTAGGTAGCCTAGTTAGCGCCAGAGCCAGATACGCTGTCTCTGTCTTCTGTCATGTCTTTAACAACGAGTCCTTGGCAGCACGCTCACGCTCATGTACTTGTGTTTCATAGTAGTAAAGTTTAATATAATTCCTTACATGCAAATATGAATAAAACTAACATTTTACAGTTCTGTTAAAACCCAAAATTGACATTTCCATCAGTGCTGCTCTGTATATTTTCTATTTCTCCATCTTGCTGTGATGAAATGAAATGAATACCTGATATAATTTCAGTATTGAAATAATGGCGCCTTGAACGTGTATCCGAGTCCTTGAGTACTCGTGTCCGTCCCTGCTCTGAATGCCTCAATTAGGCCGAATATTGATGGACCTACAACACTGAATTGCTTCAAGCTGTGCAATTGTGCTCTTTTACAGCTTCTGGTTGACGACAGTGTTGCCGTGACACCATTCTACCTGTTGCTAGGAAAGCACAGGCAGCAGCAGGAGGAGAAGCAAAGCTCTGTGGTCACTCAGGTGGCAGACAGAGCTCAGCCACCTCAGGCATCAGTAGCCATCAAAGAGGTCAGTGAGTCTGATCATGTGATATTGTGTGGAAAGGGGATAAAAATTGTTTGATGGTTTTATAAATATTTAAATATTTTTAGAAAGTGAATTAATTTAAGAAATTATTGTTCATATCTGAAATTTTGAAATTCTTTTGGTGCATCTGTTCTTGCCTGAGCACAAATCTGAGGATTTTTTTTTTTCAAAGTGATCATACAGTCGTATGCAAAAGTTTGGGCGCCCCTGGTCAAATGTTTGTGTTGATTTTGTAAGTGAAAATAAGTTCACATCCTCTACAGAGAGCACACTTCATTATGTACTGTATGTAATTGTTTCACATGAATAGGTTGTGTACCTCGATTGATTTGATTGGCCTTGTCATCTTTTAATTATTTAACTTTATTTTTTCTTTGAATTGTCTTTATCCGTTCACTTGTCTTTCTTATCTGTGTCCGTTCAGTTGCTGCACACTCCAGCCCATGTGCTTCCTGCAGCCTCGTTCCTGTGCTCGATGTTTGTCAACTCCCTCCTCATCTCTAACACTGGGAGCAGGTACGGCTGCTTACGTTTCTGCTGAATTTGTGACACATATGCCTATTCTTGTATTATCATATTTATCAAAATTTTTTATTTTTTATGATGTGGTCATCTGTTTACCTACTTTTTCCTGATTGTGGCCCTTTCTATGGCCTTCCTACTTCCTGTTTTTGACTTCCTTTTATTTGACTGTTGACTCATATCTTGCTGAGTCATGATAAGGCTTAGACAAAGTTACTCAAGCCTTGTGGAGTATTGAATTGTTACTACTTACTTCTTATAGAAGGCAACAGGTCTAAAATATGGTGTTGCTGCTTTTTGACTGAGTCTGCCTGCAGGAGGTCATGTATATTGTCATATTTCAGTTTTTCTGCTAACTATTAACTAAAAGACTTTGAAAACACTTGAAAGACTGAAGTCTGACATCCTTTCACATCTAAAGACAGCGTCGCAGAGTTTTTAGTCACAGACTATGATTTTGCAAAGACTGGGGATCTTGCACAGTCACTATTTCCAAATCTGCAACTAGATTTTTAAGTTTGTTTACCATGTGGTACAAATGGGGAGATATGTTGGCTGGTCATATAAAGATCTGGTGCTCAGCGCAGTTCACTGTAGGATGGTATATTCTGCCATATCACCACCCAGCGTTTTTTAATTATCCTGAAAAATGTGCAGTAATTTATTTTTTTTTTTATTTACAATTAAGATTTACACATCAACAAAACATGCAGCAATTCAATATTGTTGATTGGATGTTATAAACTAAACCATTAAAAGCAAACAAAAAAGGAAACCACTAACAGCAAAAAAAATGGGGAAAAAAGCTTGATGCTTTTTCAGTAATACCATTCTTAAAGTCTTCTCCACATTTCCTTACATTGCTGTTACACATTCAGTGAACTTGAAATATTAAAACAGGTAGGTTACATTTTTAAATGAATGATTATTGTTTTAAAGTGGAGCAGATTTGCCTTTTTGACAGATCTCAGGCACTTCCGCATTCATTCACTTTATCTTGCACTATCTCTATCTCACTTGCTCTCATGCGCCACTAGCACATCACTGTTTGCATGAGCTGAGACTTAAAACTTATGATAATATTAAACACGGTTGATTTTATCGCAGCGTCAAGGCGAGAAAAAGACTGAAAACGGCCACCCTGACCACAGCAAACAATAAAGATTACGCAAGCATGGCCTTGGAAATTTGTCTGCGACAGTGAAATCACTTTGGCGTAAGGCCGGCATAAGGGAACCTTTCCTCTTAAGCACTTGCACTGCAGTCCTACTAGAAAAAATATTGAGTGCAGTGTAAAAATGAAGTGTCACATCTTGATGAGCCTGCCCACAGAAGGTCATGCATGTTTTGCAGAGCTGTTTACTTTTTTGTTTATTTTTCTCAAGGGTGTTCACAGACTGACAGTTTCTTCTGAGATGTCTTTTCCCTTTTCAGTGTTGCAGGATAGAATATGAAAAAAAGAGGGGGTGCATTTTTTTTACTGCTTTCACATTAGTTTGTAAATATATTTTATAGGGTCTTGGAAGTTGCTTTAGAGCCTCATATCTCTTAAAGATTTATCTGTTTTGTTTACTTAATTTCTCACTAACGTTTGTTATGTTTCCCCCAGAGAAGGGAAGGAGGCCTCAGAACAGGACGAAGAAAGTGAGAAAGAGGAAGACGATTCAGAGGAAGAGATGGAAACGCATGACTCCCAACAGGAAGTCCGAACACAGGGCTCAGTGGAAGAGGCGCCACCGCCGCTGTCCAAAGCGGAAGAAAAAGAACTGAGGAGAGTGCGAAAGACTGACTTTAGCTGGGTCACAAGCCTGGCCAGCTCTTAGCCATGACCCGGTTCACACAGACACACCATCACCAATCTCCACGGCTCCAATGGAATTAAAAATATGTAGGAGTTTCCCTGATGGGATCCACAAATGAGTTCATAGAGGTAGAAGCTTCAGCTGAGAATCATTTTGTAGGCTTGCTTTTATCGCACCAAAGCCTTTACAATGATAAAGCCCCTGGGTAGAACATGCACTGTATGTCCAAAAGTGTCCAGACACCACTTCTAATTAGTGAATTTAGTTACTCTAAGGTGCACTCATTGCTTACACTGGCATTCAGTTAGGCACACAGTCTATATTCCCCATTAAAAAAAAAGCATAGGACATTCTGGAGCAGCCACGCATGAGCGTGAGCCTAATGTCCAGTGCCAGGCATCAGCTAAAGAGGTAAAAAGCCTCCCAGCATTGGGCTGTGGAGCAGTGTAACTGCATTCTCTGGAGTGATGGAGCTCCATCCAGCACCTTTGGAATGAGCAGGAGTTGTTTATGATCCAGAACTAATGATCCAGCATCAGTTCCTGACCTCCCTCATGCTGTTGAGGCTCAATTCAATCAAATCTACTCAACAATGTTCCAACATCGAGTGTAAAGCCAGAAGAGTAGAGGCTGTTACTGCAGCAAAGTGGGAACAAGCTTTACCTTTAGAAGATATGCTGGATGAGCAGGTGTCTTTCAAACTTTTGGATATATAATGTACAATAAGGGCATTTACAGTTCTCTCCATTCACTGTCAGTAAAGAGTGACGGGCATTGCCAACTGCTTTAGTTGCAGTCTGGAGCTTGCCACCTTTCCTGACACACGATCCTTAAATTAACCGTACTCTGCTTCAATACAGTGGAGTTGAATACAAGATCTGTGGTTTGGTTTATGTGGATTGCAACAATCTGTCTTTTTTTTTTTGTTGTTGTTGTTTTTTATTGTTTTCTTTTTATGTCAAAGTACCTGGTGACAGGATGAGTAGGGAGCTTTAGGGCTTGAGACTTATTTGTAACACAAGTTGTCAGAACATCAAACTGAAGGCATCAAGTGTAATTTATAAAGGATTTTTCGAACAAAAGTATCTTGTGTTGATTCTTGCGAAATCCCTTTTTCCCCCCTCACATGTTATCGCTTAACAAAAAAGAAAGGGAAAAAAGAGAAGTGTGACTTCTCTCTTAGCATTTCTATTCCCTTTCTCAGCTTGGTCTACAAGTTCAAAGTCATAGATGATCAAGCAGAATCTGAACTGGGTCCAGACGGTCACATACCTCTTCTCATATAGACGTGCCTTTTGCCATGTTTTTCCCTTGCATAATTGCCATTGTTTCAAACTGCAAAGGAGTGAAATTTGTCACCTCATTGCCAAATCCTTGGCTACACGTCATGAGCTTTAAGATCCCTTCTGAGCCCACTGGTTTTTTAGGGGCTCCAGCCACCGATGGCCTATGGCACAGCTGCGATTTGAACCCAAGCAAACGAGAGCAGTGTTGCACCTTTTTACTTCATATATTGTATTTTTGTGGCCTTCAGTATTACAAATATTGCACTTTGGGCAGCCTTGGTCCAAAACTAGGGCTCAATACAGAATTTGAAACATTTTCCACAGATCAGGGCCCTCTTTGCCTTGGTTTGATTCACTGGCTGAGACGATCAAGCACAGATTAGTGCTTTAAGCCCCCCCACTGAGCCCACTCATTGAAGGCCTCCAACCACTGCTGGCCCACAGCACAGCTGTGATATGAACCCAAGCAATAGAGAGCAGTTCTACGCTGTACTGCTTTTATTGGGTGCATCCTCAGGAGAGCACTGGGTTCATCTTGAACCATCTGTGAACTCCGTCCCAGAATGATGGGGATGGAATCTGGGTCAGTGCCCACATTGACTGAATCCCCCACTGTTTCGAAGTCAATTTGAGGAAGTTTTAGCTTTGAGTCAGAGGAGCGTCTCCATTGAGAATCCTTGTTAGTATACAGCTGGGCTTAACCTGTGCTTGGAAGGCTGTTTCCTAGAAAGTTCTTTTCTACCCCTCTATCACTGCCACTTTAAACAGCTTCAAAGGGTCAAAGATCCTGATATGTCAGTTCCTGCTCTTGAGAAAAGATCAGGTGTTCAGGTGGGAGTCTCCTCCTGTTTGCAGTACACATGCGCTTCCTGGTTCATTTTAATGTGTAATGTGAAACTTTTTATGGACACATTAGTTTTCAATTTCACAATGTGATGAACTTAATGGAGTTTAATTGAGGCTGTATCTTATCTCTTACCCACATTTATGTCAGGCTAAAGTTCATGTGACCGGACTTTGACCTTGTTGCATTGAGCCTGCTCGTCTTAGGTACCAGCAGTTCTTCGATTGCTTCTGCACACAGCCGCAGGAGGCCTAAAGGAGGGAAGGCGCTTGCATGCTGGTGTTCTTTAAAAGCCCTATCATGGAAAACTTATTTCATAAAGAGTGAGAATTCAGAGTTTGATGTAAGTGTTGTTAAAGTTTCAAAACATACTGTTCACTCTCCGGTCCATATGTGGAGATTAAGCTGCGAAAACAGTATGTTGTGAATTGTTCTTGTGATGTTACAAGAACCAACACATTTACATTTGCCCGCCCCATTCAGCCTACGGCATTTTAGCTCTGCCCATTCGCACTGAAGTTATAAAGAGTGTTTCAACCCTGACTGTTATTTGAAGGAGGCAGGATACATGGCAGTCAATCAGAATAAGGGTAATTTACATATATATCAGTCTTACATGCACAATAACAACAACTTTGTTTAAAGTGGATCTTGGATTTAAATAAAAATAAACAGATGAATAATGCAGGATTTGGGCCTTTTAAAGCTTGGTGAGATAGTGAAAGTTGAGCGTGAAGATTATATGTAGGCTGTCTGGCTGATTTAGGGTCAGTCCGTCATAACTATATCCTTATTAACAGGGTTGGATAGTAACGGAATATGTGTAACGGCGTTATGTAATCAGGATACAAAGAAGTAATGATTCAGTCACATTTACAGAAAAGAAGACAGTAATCAGATTAAAAATACATTATTGACAGCGTTATAACCAGCTGGGTTACATATAAACTGCATTCTAGTAAACTCATGGTCTTTTGTTGAAATTTGCTGTTTTAGTGATAAACGTTACATCAGCCATGTAGATTTGAAGAGCTTTAATTTGAGGAAGAAGAGGGTGAGGAAGGCCCTGCAGCCAGGAGAAATTTCTGAAGAATCCTCCTCACAAGCAGCATTTCCAGATTTTATATTCAGCCAATCAACAGAACTTTTAGTAAACGTTTAGTTTTGATTGGCAGATTAAAGGTCTGCAGTGATTGCCCAGAGAAAACTGATTTACCCTAATTTTACATTTCACCTTTTTCTACAGCAGCAAACTGATCTGATCTGGAAGTCACATCTTTTATTCTCATTTTTTTTTATATATTTTTGGTTTCACAGAAGTACAGTTTGACTTGTTATTAAACTTTTGTGAACATTAACATTACAGATTTAAATGATGACCCTTACTGAAAACTCACACATATATATTTCACTTGTGAAGTGCAAAAACCACATATTTACAAGTAATCACATTTTTTTTTACGTGATCACGATTTCCCATGTGATCACACATTTTTTCACATTTGATAACACATTTTTAACGTGTGGTTTTTGGCACACGCCACATGTTTTGTTCACATGTGAAATTCATGTGACTTTTCTGTGAGGGGAAGTGAGCTAACGTTAGCTTACAGCCCCGAAAGATGAGACTGAAGGATAGTCACGTGAGCGGTGAAGTTCATTTTCACATGCATGATTTCTTTCTTCAGTGGTTTTTGAATTATGTGTGCAAAAAGTTAATGTGTGTAAATTATCATTCTTTGTAACCAAGACCATCAGCTCCCACTTAGGTTTTGTGACATTAATGCATTTTGAACCAATGAGAGCTGAGAGAGCTCCTACCAATTACGATCATCAAAGTATCATCAAAGAAACTTTCTGAACCATTACAGGCCTTTCAGCAGACAGAACACAAATGATAGTCAGTGTTTTTGAAATGAACTCCATTAATAATTATTGCTAATGAGGGGTCTTAAAAGATTTAAAACAATTTACACTGTACAAATTTGTCATCTCCACTTATATTTGGCTGTTTCACTTGTCTGAGGCACAGTAGTCACCAGTTATCTATTATTCTGTGTCATAAAACTGTGTCATGCAGTTTTCCTGTTTGCCTTAAGTAAAATTATTGATGGAAAAGCATTGTTGAATTTTTTGGCTTGTCTTTGTTTATTTATATGACTTTAAAAAGGCAAGTAATCCAAAAGCAAACAAAATTAATCAGATTACATTAATTTTTTGGATAAAGTTACAATTTAAATGTTTAACTGGTAAATATCTGTAACAGCACACATGCTTAAAGTAGCTGTCTCAACCCTGCTTATTAATGCCACTGAGGTACCACAGAGCAAAGTAGTTCAGAAATGGCCAAGGCAGGCCTGCCCAAAATGTGGCCTGTAGGTCAGAAAGTTACCTTAACCCAACCCTCCTCACCCACTGAGAGACCAAAATAGTTTTATACTATATAGAACTTACAAAATTCTTATTTTTGTTATATATGAGTAACAAAATATAGCGGATTGCACACAAAAACAAAGGGGTCTAAAATTGTTCTATTCATTATGCTATAGAGGAACCACTTTTGGTTCCCTAGAGATCTTCTCGGTGGGTGGTTCTTTTGAGAACCATTTTTGTAAATGAGATATGAGTGTGGAGAAGCTTTAAAGTTTAAATCTCCGCATTAAGTGAATGTTCTAGGACAAACTCTTAAATAGGTGTAGAACATCAGTCTTCAGTTCTATTTCTAGCTGGGAAAGAGATTTATAACAACCCGTGGACGACTGAGGCTGTTTGAACGGCAGTGGTGAAAAAATAAAAAAGGGCACCTACTGCACGACATGGGACCCCACCAGCACGCAAAAAGCTATACTGCATCATGTATGATGAAATATCCTTCACTAACTTTGTTATCAGGTGATCACGATTAAAGGTATAACCACACCTATATGATAAAAACATACAGAGAATGATAAACCTTTAAAAACACATCTGACGTAAAACAGCAAACTACTAACATTTATTGGACAAACACATACTGTACACTCTGACATCTGAACGTTTAAGAGGGGGTGTGGCTAAAACTGAAAGCTTAAAAGGATGGAATAGACAGTAGTTTTTAACAAGAATGAGGAACATTACTTTAAACTGTGTTATCATGGCAACAATTTGTCTTTTACTATCAAATACAGTTAACCTAACCTAACCTTACCTAAAGGGTACACTGAAAAATAAAAACAGCAACGGTGCAAAAGAGATTACATCAAAATGCTAGTTAGATATTAGCCTAACTTATCAGCCTCTTGCAAAAATGCAGAAAAGATCTGTTAACAGCCATACGGTGTGTTTTGAATGTAAGCAGGGTTTGAGAGATAAACTCAAAATCTTATCAAAGTATTTGGCGACACCCCTAGACTGTCGCCACAGCACCCACTTTGGGAAAGCCTGCCCTAGAGGGCACCGCAACTCATTTTCTTCACTGGGATTTTTTTTTCTCCATTGCAAGGGTGCTTCATTGTGTTTTCTCACTCGGAAGGGCATCTAAGAGGGTACTTCATCAGAAAGTTTCAGTCAGGTTTATCCCATTGTGAGGACACCTATATGGCACCACATCTCATTTTCTCCACTAGAGGGGCATTCATCAGAAAACTTCCCCACATTCTCACACATGTAGGGACACCCTTTATAGCACTCCATCACATTTTCTCTACTAGAAGGGCCCTCATTAAAACACGTTATTGAATTTTCATGCTCTAGAGGGCTCGTTATCATAAGGCATGAAGGAGTCATGAAAACTCAAGGCATGAAACTCAATCTTTTTTCCCCCTTAGCCTTTTAGAGAAAGTGCCAATAGGACACCTCCTCTTGTTTTCGCCACTCGAGAGGACACTTTAGTGATGATATTTCAACCAGTCTCTACAACTTTTAATGTTTTAAAATGTAAACCTTCGCAGCTGTAGAGATTGTGCAATTCTTAGACGCTCCCTTAATCAAGTACTATTTGCGGAACACAGCAGAGCCGTATAGAGATATACGGCTCTGGAACACAGCAGCCTGGTTGTCGTCATGCCAACAGCAGAGACGACCGTGATTGGTCAGTGGGTTTTTAATCTCCAGTTAGGGCTTATACAACAATGTCGAATTTTCGTCGTCCGAAAAATCGCGTTTGGTGTGCCAGTTTTTAAAAAGTATAATTATTAATAAGCTGCATTACTTAATAATGTAAAACCTGAATAGGCCCGACTTCTCCCCAGCGAATGTTTTTTCCCAGGTTTGCGGCGCTTGTTTAGTTTTAACAGGCCTGCAGCTCGACCAGCTCTACAAACACACAGCCACAATGCTAACGGCTAAGCGCTAATCACACCAGCTACCAGCCGATATCTCACCGCGACCGCGGACTGAACCGCGTCCGTGGGGGTGAAAATAACTCGCAGACACAACTAACAGGAATTACTGGTGAAAATAACAGCAACTAAAAGACCCCCACTTCATTCACGCCAACAGCAGCAGACGATTATAAACTGAAGACCTGTAGTCAGCTGGGTTAGCTAGTTTCACCAAAACGCTCCTCTCGTAGACGGAGCCGGAGTGAAACGCCTTCTTCTTCAACACCTTTTACAAATAATAGCAAATAAAGAGCAAAATATATATTAAAGCACGCGTTTTTCGTGTGCTAGACGCTATAAATATCCCATTCACTCATCATTAACACATATATGCCACAGCCGCTATGGAGAAACCTGGCACTGGCTTTAGATTAAACTCCTTTTCTGCAGTCGATGAGTGAAGTGTAGAGCTGTTCAGAGATGGACGAAGTACACAAACCATGTACTTGAGTTAAAGTAGAGATACACAAGGTATATTACTCCAGTAAAAGTAGAAGTTCCTCCCTTTAGACCTCCACTTGAGTAAAAGTACAAAAGTATTTGCCTTCAAATGTACTTAAGTATCAAAAGTAAAAATACTGAAAGATTAATTATGACTCTAATGTCCTGTTATCGTTTTTGTAACAAGGCTCTTGCTTTATCAAGTCATTTTAGGTGAAAATACTCTAGTTTCAATCTTGTAACACCAATATTTTAATAGAAAGAAATTAGTCTGACGCTGATGTCTATTAAAATGATCAAAAGCACTAATGATTAGTGTGCTGCTTCACGCTTCTTTCGTTTTGACGTTACGTTTTTATGCACACATGAGCCAAAAGGAACGACAGATTTCTCATAATGTAGTGGAGTAAAAAGTAAGATATTAGACTTTGAAATGTAGTGGAGTGAAAGTAAAAAGTCACCAAAAATGGAAATACTTCACTAAAGTACAGATACATGAAAAAAAAAATACTTAAGTACAGTAACGAATTACATTTACTTCGTTACTGTCCACCACTGGAGCTTCTTATGTCGTTTGGAAGGTATCCGTGTATTTGCATGGTCAGCTAAACCAAATTAAGATTAAATGAACATCAGAATTGTTTATTCTACTAAAAAAAGGATCATTGGAAGCCATTAGGATTAAAAGCTAATGATTTGGCTTTCTAATGGAAATTGGCTTTATGGTTTCTTATAGAGAACCATAGTTTGCTGTAGAACACCTTTAGATCCAATTATGAAACCATCAAATGCATTTAGGATCAGACATTGGTCACCTGTTAAACCACTAGGATCATTTACACTGGATATCAACCCATTTAAAAGCCAGAACACCTTAGAAACCCACCAGGAACCAACAAAAACACCTCATGGTTTCTCTGGGTTTTAACACGGCACTGCCATAGATGAATCTTCATAGATGCCATAGAGTGCAACCACTTTTGGTTCCCTAAGGAGCCTTTCAATGAATGGTCCTTTGGAGAACCATTTTTGTGAAAGAAATGTGTGAAGAACCTTTTATGATTTAAAACAGTTCCACATAGTTCCTAGCAAGTTTCCTAAGCAAAAACCTTAACTTTGTATAGAACCTTTGTATTCTTGTTCAAAAGCTCCTATGGTTCTTTAGAAAACCAAAGTGGGTTTTCTATGGCATCACTCAAAATAATCCTTAATTATGCTTTTATTTTTAAGAGTTGTCATAAAATACAGTACATACTTTCTTCATATATTGTCTTGTGTTTTTGGCCCCGAAAGACAAACTCTGTGCACCCTTGGTTCAAAGCTGGGCTGCTTTACAGAAATTGAAGCACATTATGACCCTCAACAGGTCCAGCCAGGTCCCTATTTGCCTTGGCTTAATTCGCTGGCCCACATCATCAAGCGCAGATTAAAGCCAGTCCATTAAACAGGCCAGTTTCAAAAAAGCTTCAGAGAAAATGACCAGCGCAGGAATGTGACCCCACACAATGACTGTTGGGACCATGCCAGGAAGCTTCTCCTGCTCTTTCAGTCTGATAAGCCTGTTCAGATGGGTCTTTACTCCTCACTAAACCACCTCCCTTTTACTTTTCCTGAAGAAACCACAGAGAAGTGACATGTGGATGAAAGTTTCTTTATTTCAATTTAAAGCGAGCACGTGCAATACAACTCCTGGGCTGTTTGCTCTCCCTCCATCGAGGTGGAGTGTACAACATAGTCATTTGTGCGCAAAACAGATTAAGGAGCCAAACCTGCTCCAACAATACAAATTGCGATTATGTGTGTTTGCTTTTAGGGTAAGTCACATTTAACTGGATGTCTGATTTGTCTTTTGTGCAGCATATAGAAGTGGTACATGTTTAACACTAAAGGATTACAGTTGGGAGGAAAAGCAAAGCCAGGAGGCTTTTCATTTCAGACACTGAAACACTGGAATACTTTACAGATGTACAAAAAAGGATTCACACATAAGAAAACACAACGACATGACACAAATCATTTTTCACAAACATTCACCAATGTAGTAAATTTGCTCAAAGTCTAACGAAAGAGTCCTGAAACAATCTCACAAGAAGAGCTCAAGTGATAAGTGCCCTGTTGCTGAAAACGTGCTTTACATTTTCGGGGCAAACATCAAGGCTGAAGATCAACAGTGGGTCGTGACACCTGCGTTTCTGTAGAGGCCAGCTGCCCTTCGCCAAAAACCCCCAACAAAGCAGTCCACTGCTGCAGTGCTGACTCAGCATTCTGCCTTAAGAGCAGAATAATGCCCTCCCTGTTTCCTACATATGGCCGACCCATGCTGCTCTCTAGTCTCGGCGTTATACAACTATTACAAAATGCCTCGCGTGTCACTCTTGCCAGCTGCGGTTTCCAACAGAGGAGGTAATGTCAATAAGACCAAGTCTGCGCTTTCTGGTTTGGCTGGTTGTTGGATAGCTAACACCAAACATGGCCTAAAATAAGTGGAATTGTTTACTTTAGGTCTGCAGCGACAAGTCTGCTGAATCTGCAAGGTGGAAACTCTGAATAAGACTTATGGTGTCATATGAGCAGTGTGATTCTTCCAAACGGGCCGCCACTTCTCGAAATCCTGTTTTTGAAGGCATTTCAGGCGAGGGTGGGGGAGAAGGTTAAAGCTGGGGCTGGGGCAGTTGGGCAGCAGGTCCACTAACATTAAACGGGAATTCTACTTATTTTTCAAAATGTCTGAATAATTCACTGGTTGAGATTCATTCAGAATGGTTTGACTGCAGAGAGACATACAGACTTTTCTGTACAGTGGTGGTGACTGTAACTGAGGTTATACATTGCTAATATAGCCATTTTACTCAGTCCAAAATGAGCATTGAGTTTTTTATGTAATGTAGACAGTGATCAAATAGTGGTAAACCTGAAAATGAAGCTTTCTTTGGGTACTATTTTGCCTCAAGTGTATGTTTAAAAACAAATTTAGGCCAAAACCTTTAAAACTCTCATAAAACATAGTCTCTGGCATTAGGCAGTGCATTCACAACCACTTCATGCAGCAGCTTTCTGAGATGCCGCTTTCAGAAACATTAAACCCTCTGAACATCTGGTTCCTTTCACCACCACTGACTCCAGAATGGAGCATCTCACAACAAACCACTCTGAATAACTCTATTTACATCTTAACCGTTTAATCATGCAGAAATGCTGAAAAAATGGTGGAATTCCTTCTTTGGAACTCCAAATCTCTTTGCTATTGTTGGTGCAAGAAGGCAATCATTGAAAAGTGTATTAAAGTAAACATCAGGAAGGCCTGAAGATGCATTGTTTGCGCTTATGTAATGAAGGAAGTCTAAATCACTTAAAGTGCTTGTGTAACAATCTTAAGGAAAAAAAACAGTAGAATCAACTTCTAGAATCAAAACAAAATCAAACAATAAAAAAAAATTGTGAATTGTGTGGTTGGGGCTCGAAGTTAAGTCGCCATTTAGGTGTTGTGAAATTATTAAGTGCAACAGGGCCTTGCGTCAACAGAAACGGCTATACTATATCAGTTCGCACCAAAAATATCTGGAATGTTTAAAGGCAGAAAAACGATCGTTGTTCCCTCACTTCCTCTTTCTGAAAGATTAATTCCACTTTGGATATGTGTACAAAAAAAGCTATATATGCGAGTGCATAGCTTTTGCAATAACACATTAGCACCACTAAAGCTGACATACACAATGTTGACTATAGGTGTAATAATATTCCTGAATGAGTAACTTCCATTCGCCTTATTAAAGAGACATCACCCCGGGAGGCAAAAAAAAAGCAACAGGAAACAAAGCTAAAACTTAAATGCCATTAAGTAACAACATACTGCTAAAATGGTACTGCAGCTCTACATAATTAAGCATGCATTAACTATGAACAGGCAATCAGGCAAAAATGTTGAATAAATATCCCTGTGGTACGGTCACACAGGTCACATGCAACACGGTACAGCAGCCAGACTTACTGTTGAGCTATACTGAAACAGCGACCAGGCTTACTGGAGAACTAAACGCTGAAGGCAGGTATGTGTCTGTGTTTTGCGTGTTCATTTTTGCATCCTTTCTGAAGCACCTCAAAAACATAAAGCATACAAAATGCAAGCTCGTGAAGACGGGACCGATCTAAACTACTGGCCTACTGCCTGACTGCCTTGCTTTACTAACATAGCTTATGACTAATGAGATCTATGCTCTGGGTTGAATACAGGTACATATTCTGGCTCTGCAAGCATGTTAGTACAATATGGTTCCCATGCACAATGTCTCTGAGTAAGAGAGTAATACAGATACTATCGTAGCGGGTGGGGGGGGGCAGCGTCTCTTTAATGGCTTACACAGCAAGTGAGGGAGGGTCTGCATCTGTTTTCTGCTCGGGCGAACAGCACAGGAAAAGCCGACTCCTGAGACTTTTGAAGGCGAACCTGAAGTACATCATGTGCCCCATGGCAACGAAGGAGACGGAGATGATGACTAGCAGGCCGAAGGCTTCTGGGTTAGGCGCCAGGATGACCATGACAAAGTGCAGGAGGTCGAGGAGGTAGTTCATGGAGTTCTGGACGCCGTTGATCACCCCTCGCTCGGCCTCGGCCACATTCTCTTGGATAAGTTGGGTCACGGTCAAGTCGAAAGACCAAAGACCTGAAAAAACCATGCCAGGAAATGAGTCACCGGGTGTCATGCACTTCTTTTACTGCCACATAAACGCATCAGCAAGAAGACATGATGATCGATTGGCATCAAAGGTTGACTTTACAACTTTCTTGCCACACTGACATAAAATCACAGCTTTTTTCCTCCAGCAATACAGTAATGAAAAGTACATAAAACTTGAATTTCTTTTTAAACAAATTTTTGAAGTGGTAAAATGTAACTTTTTTATTATTTTCTCTTTATGCTAGACATAGTTCATCAGCCTAAACACGCTTGGTGTCTGAAGTTTGCTTCTTTAGTTTTATACTGGAGTGACATGGCTAATGTAGCTAATAAATAAATAGAAGCTTGTAATGCACCAATTAGGGTCATGCAAACCGCATGCCGAAATCCAGGCCTGCACAATCATAAAATTATAGCTGAGGATTAATGGCCATATAAATAACTGTGATTAACAATTTAATTAATAATCTTATTTATTTACTGTATGTAATTATCAAAGCCTGGGCCTATCACAGCAATTATTTTCCATGCTGTTGTTATTTCACAAACATATGTTCACATCACAACAGTCAGAATATGAGTTGGCTGTGTTTTCAGTGTGTTTTCATTCATTAGGCTATGGCAAATGTTTGCAAATAAAAGAAAACAGAACAATTTTATTGCTAATGAGGCATGAGTCTTCCTACTTCTGACTAGTGCTATATCACCTTTAGATGGCAACGGTTAGTAATATTTGTTTGAGCTTGAGTAGTTTCTCGAGAATAGTATCAGCTGGGAGCTACTAAGTGTTGACAGCTAGGGAGCAAGAAAGTGTCATTTATTTGCATACAATAAATTAAAAAGACTAATCTATTAATTGCAATAATTTACAATATGTTTACATTAATCATCAGCTAAAGTATTATGATCATAAAGTGACCAAATTGGCTGGTGAGCTATCTTGCTTCCCAACTGTCAGGACTTAGTAGCTCCCAGATAAAAACTGCTTGAGCTCAAATAAAAAAACATTTCTCACTGTTTCCCTCTAAAGGTGTTATAACAAGTCAAATATTAGAACTCTACTGGTTTCTGATGGACTTGTGACGTTTCAGTAAGTATGTTTTCTGCTTTTTTTACTTACAGGTATTTGTTTTAACCCAACTGATGAACCCAATTTACATTAATTGTTGCAAGTAAATAATAATTGGAGTCAGTTAAAATAACTGTGATCAGTTCTAATAATTGCGATGAGGCGATTATGTAAAAACTGTGACAGGCCTAGCCTAAATCATCACATTTCTTGTTTCAAAACACATCAAATTGATAAGCAAGTCAAAGACAGGCTTGCTTATGTGGTTTCTGACACTTTTGAAGCCTAAATATTTCTCATTTTGTCCATAAATAAGTAAACTGCAGACACCAAACACGTTTTGATAGATAGCTAAAATGTGGGACTGCGTGAATTTGGTTTTGCCCTGTCTACTTACTGCATGTCTACTTACCAACTCTAGCAGCAATTACACCAGCAAAGAGCAGACTGACAGACATGTAGGACTCGATGTGCGGCATCTCCTCAGACTGCATGGAGATGTTGAGCAGGCCTTGTGCTTCAGTGGTCACCATGCTGGACATGGTGGGGGCCTCAGGCAAGGGGGCGTTGTTGCCCAGAAGATGGCTGATCATGCTCTCGAAGGGAGAGACTCTCAGGTCGAAGGGGCTGCCGGGGGCGAAGACGGACACCACGCAGAGCATCAGGCACGACAGCTGGGCCATTCCAGCAATGAAGCCGGTCCGGATCAGGCCGCACTTTTTCCGCACCCAGGTAAAGGCCACCGTCCCGCAGATGCCCGACACGGCCGAGGCACCCATGAGCAGGCTGAGGATGGAGCCGTTCAGGCCCTGGGTGTAGGCGTACCCCGTGGTGATGCAGTCAAAGCCCAGTACGGTCATGTAGAGGAAGGCCAGGGACATTCCAGCAAAGAAAATGGACTGGTTATAGTAAGCCACCCAGCCATCCCGGAAAGTGCGCAGGGGTTCAGACATCTGGTAGCAGCAACCTGGGTTCTTCTCTTTATCAGACTTCACCACAGCAGCCTCGTTCATCAGCTGAGAAGCCTCTGCCGGGCCTTCTGGGTTCTCCAGTTCTGAGAAAACAAAAAAATAACAGAAACAGACAAGTTAATCATTAAAAACAATGTGAATCATGAAAGATGCATCAATGATTACCAAGAAATGAACTGCTTTTCCTTTCTTCTGGCATGAATTGTTTCAACAAAAGTAAAAAAAAGTTGAGCTGAGTCACCAGTTTTTCATAAGGAAAAGTTGTATTTTGCAATATTTTGCATGTGAAACCACAAGATCCACATTTATCAAACTTCTCAAAGCAAGCATCCTAATCTAGGATCACCCTCACATTATCTAGTAAATATGAATATAATGTGAAGGAGGGACCTGTTCAGACAGATGAATAAGGGCCCAAAAAAAGTAAACAGTGCAAATAATAGAACAGTACAAGAACCTGGCTTCCCTAAATATCTCTAAAGGATAGAGTGTTAGAAAGCCACAAAGCAAAACAAATCTGCTGACTCATGGTGAGTGTTTCATAAGACAGGGTGTTATCTTGCAACTGCTTCCAGTCATTTTCATCAGCTGCTTGCAAAACAGCACTACAAACGAAAAAAAGGAAAAAAACAGAACAAGAAAGAAAACCTTTCTGAATGTTGAGGTGCTTCAACTCCTGGTCGCCAGTGTCTTTCTGGCCTGCTTTAATGGCCAGTGCTGGGGTCTTCTGGTAGACCTTCCAGAGGAGGAAGTACTCCAGACACATGGAGAAGAGGTTCCAGCCAGAGATGAAACCGCAGCCCATGAAATGAGATCCGAAGGCCATGATCTGGCCCACCAGCATCGGAGCCAGAATGTTGGTCAGCTGGTCGATTATTCTCACCGTGGCATTCATGTCTGAAACAAGAAGAAAAACATTTTCATATGAAAAACTTGTGCCAGTGAATAATTCATGTGAGCTGCACCTGCCCAGACTGCTTATAGCCCTATAAAATCCCATAGCAATTGTGTCTCCGCAGGGTTACCGAGTTCGCCTAAGACATGTTAACAGTTTTCATTGAGGCCAAAAAGAACTGTTGCAGAACATTTGGAGTGAACCTGCTGGGCCTCCAGAACATTAAAGCCGGTTCCAACATTCCACCAAGGCAGCGGCTTAAATAACAGGAAATGTTGGATTGTTATTGTTCATGAGTTTTATTAGCCGGAGGAAACAGGAGTTATAAAAGAGTCAATTATAAGTGCAGCTCAAAGGTAGCAGCTCCTGTTTTGACAGTGTTTATCTAGTGTCATCTGTAAAAACCTAAAAAACTGAAACCTCACCTGCCAAGCTGCTGCGGTCATCTCCAGCCACAACGACCACCCAGTCCCTCTGAATGGTGATGGACATGGCAGTGCTGGCCAGGTTCGCAATGTTGGCGATGGTGATGACCAAAATGTAGCATGATGTCTGTTTAAAAAAAAAAAAATTATATTTTATTATTTTCTATCACAAATAATATCACATAAGAATAGTATCAGCAGAGTCAAACATATTGGCTGTGTTGGAACAAAGCCTTGTATCTTAATTTTTGTCTTTTTTTTTTTAAATTTTAACATAATTTGAAAATGCCAGCTGCCCTTTATATTTGAGTCCAAATATAATGATGAACGCACCAATTAAAAGGGTCTCAAATTAGAGTGTTTTTTCCTTGTAAAGTCAATTTTTGGAGATTCAAGGTTTTGTTCCAACAGGAGAATTTCAGTTTATACAGGTTTTTTATTAAGCAAAACTATAATTAAAACTTCCATCTATTTAACGTCTACCTCTCAAAAGAAAAAAATCTATAATCTTCATTTTGCTAAATCATCACAAAACTTCATGATGAATTACACATGAATTTGTAGCTCTCGGTTAGCAGGTGGCATGAAGGTGTCAGCTTTCAAATTAAGAGCAAGGTGACAATGCTGGTAAAAAGGTTACAGCATTACCTAATACTAGTGCTACTACTACTAATAATAGTAATACACTGTGTCAAAATGTGGTTATGAGGTTTTCTTGCAGCAGCGCCAATAGGCTATTTAGAGGGATGAATGCTTTCACGCTTTTCAGGCATCGTCCAGAACAAAAACAACAACAGAGCTTACAGTACACTGTTTGCCTTATGGGTCCTGCATTACCCCAGTGACAGTGAGAAATACAGCCATGCTGTTTTGTTATTGCTGTTGTCGAGTTACAAGTGAGCCACACTGGAACACGGGCTGGGCGGGCTAATACTGGCTCAACAGCACGTCTCCTTTGCACACGAGACCTCTGCGTCCTGCTGACAGAGCAGTGCCATTTCGCTCTCATGTTCTGTCAAATCCAGACACATGAACACTCTCGAACTTTAAGGGAGGCCTCTTAAAAACCCTTAACTCAGCCCTACCCTATCTTTTCTGTTCAAATAAGGCTGAAATGTCCCAGAATGCCTTCTAAGGAGTTTTAGCTGTTTCTAGCTTAGGAACAAGGGAACTTTTCCAGAAGCATCTGATTTTATTTAACAATGTAACTCAAACAACAACCGCAAGGCAAAGAAAACTAAGAATTTGGCAAAACTAAAACAAGGCTTATCATTTAACCCTTTAAACTCTCAGGGACTCATAAGAGGGTCTCTTATAACTACATGAATTACATATTAGTTTCATAGTAGTTAACAAATAATTCTCACTCTTAAAAAAGGGGTTCCTCAAAGGTTCTTTGGTAAAGGCAAAAGTTACAACTCAAAAAACCCTCTTGATGCATAAACAGTCCTTTTCTATGATGGTACACCATTAAAATAACCTTTTAAAAATGGTTCCATATAGCACCAAATAGGGTTCCACTATTGTTATAAGCCAAATGACCATTTTTGGTACTATACAGAACCCTTTTCTGCTGTGTAGTACTTAATAAATAATAAGTCTGAAGTTTAGTAACTGAATAACAAGCTTGCAGTTTAAGAGGTTAAAGCACAGAACAGCGTCAAAGTCTTTCATATTTTACTCGATCGAGCTAATCACGACCACAAGGTTCAGAAATGAACATGCAGTCATGAGATCTACTGCAAGACAGTTACTGATCAAGCACAACTCAGTAACAACACAACACTTTCATGTGTACAACATGCTTATAGTGTATTTATTCTAGTAGCATTACAGTTACTTATACTATAAATAAATACTCACAAGCAACCATCCATTGTAGAGGACAGTGAGCTGTTCTTTGAACTGGAAAACCACCATCAGCAGGACACCACACAGGATAACTGCACAGTTCTGGACGAGCAAGGAAGTCTGGGCCACTGAAATGAAAGAAAACCGGCTTTAAGCTGGAAAAATATGTTTGTATTGCATGAAATATTGTAAGGGTTTTTAGCACTTATTGTTTACATTACAGGCAGTGAGTTTGAACATGTGAGCAGATCTCCATGTCAGTGCAACGAGGGGGTAAAATCAAGCTTTTTACCTCTGAGACGTGGGTTTTTGTCCACCCAGTCTCCTATAATGGCGCCCAGTAACAGGACCGAGCCGGCCACCACCAGGCCATACACAGCAGTCAGGAGTAAACTGTTGCCATACAGCTCTACCAGGAACACGGCTACAGCGAAGTTCCACATACGGTCCCCCTGGAAAGGAGGTGAAAGGTGAGCGGCAAAGCACAAGCGGTCATCTCAGCGAGTGGGAGAGCTTGTGAAAGAAAGCATTGCCAGCAAATTTGATCATGATGAGTGATTTTATAATGAACATTACTTAGGTTTCGGCATATTTGGAGCACATGACAATAACAGAATTATACAGGTATCGGCAGATAGTTAAAATAAGATTTGACCAATATTTTAAACCAACATTTGATGATCTATTTATTTTATTCGAGAAAAGCAGAATGTTTAGGTGACTGTGGGCTAATGCACATCAGTATTTTATTCATTTTTGACCCCCTACAAATACATAAAACATTTCTCTGTAATACAGTCCAGGTTTATTTGGTTTCAATTTCTACATGTAATGAATGTTTATGTATCGGCAGGTACATAATATCGGATATTGGCCCAGAATTCCCATATCGGTGCGTCCCTAATAAACATGTAGCCATGTTTTAAGATTCCTGGTTACTAGCCAAACTACAGTTCAGCAGAAATGTAGGGCAGCTCAAAACAAACCACCATCAGCAAAAATTCAGCTTAATTTGGCGCAAATCCAGGAAAGACAGTCTGTGTTTGAGTTATGACACCATGAATACCTGAAGGAACTGGTCAAGCTGGACTAACACACAGCATGTAGGCATATTTGCATGCATATTTGGATTTTTGCTTTGCATTGACCCTAAAGGCAGACTTACCCAGGTTGACAGGGCATGTCCAAGGTAGATCAGGAACTTTGCAGATGTGAAGAAATCACGAACAGAGTCTGGAAAAGAAAACACGTGTTTGTGCTTGAATGCATTATTGTTTTTAAATGACGCCACAGTTTATTGCAATGCACAGCCTGTTCAGCTTTGCTTCTGTTTCAAATCTGTAAAAAATAAAATAAAAAATAATAATAAAAAAAAACTTACCACAACACCGTTTCTTGGATGTTGTGTTTTCCATGTCGACCAAGTTTGCGGCAGATACTTTTTTTTTCCAGTGAACAAATGTAGTCTAGGCTGCGTTTATTCCTTGGTGTCCAATAATCCTCAGCAAAGAAATAACAGAACAACAGAAAGAGATATTTCCTACGAAACAACGCGAATATTTCCCTTCCCTCCTCTCCAAACTTAGCTATCACTGTAGCTGAAGTTGGAAAGAAATAAACCCCCTTAGAGGGCTGGGGTTTTAAACGTTAAAAAAGAAAAAAACCCGACAATTATCGGCGTTTATCCCCCGCTCCGCTCGGACCCGACTGCTCTGTCCGAGCAGCTCTCCGTGTTTATCAATACGAGGCGCCGTTTGCGCATGCGCACTGTGCAGTCCTTGGACGCGGTCACGTGACACGTCCCTAGAAACTGGGCTGCATTGTTTTCAAGTGTGAAAAGCCCACCCATCCTGTGTTATTCTCTTATTTTTTTACCTCATACTTTGCACAATAACTTGATTTAGTTCTTGAGCTCTTCTTTCAAAACTTGAAACACCCTTCTGCTGTTCAGCTGCCCAAAGTTTTTGTCCTGGGGGTGTCAAAGCGTAATGTCTGTGGTGGGCCGAAGGCCAAAACGACAAAACAATACACGAATACAGAAGATAGACAGGTTTTTAAAATGTATTTCACAACATGAAACGGTATTTTGTTACTCAAATGGTTTAAAGTACAGGATGCCTCAAAAAAATTGACATCATTTGAGATGTGAATATGTGAGTAACTACATGTCTTGGCAAACGAAATTAAATAGGCTTCATGTTGAACAATACAAGATTTATTTATCAAAATTCAAACAAGAAATTCAGAGGGATGTAGATTTTATAACCGATTTCACAAAGCTTCACAAATGTAATATCTTCCGATACTGGTGGTCGTCCAGACCCCTTTGCCCTGCACAGACAGCCTTCCTCTTTGAATTTTTTTGTGCCGTGTCCAAATCTGCTTTCCAGTTGGTTTCCTTTTTTATTGAATTTTCTCGAAAATGCAGGCTGCACACTCTTGTTTGACTGTGTTTGAGCATATTCTAACACACAAAATGCCTTTTCATTTCTAGTGAACACCATTGTTCAACCTGAAAAAAAAACATTAAAAATTAAACTTGGTTAGTTTTTACACATTTTGTTAAAATTTGAGATCATTTGAGGGAGAATTGGCTGTTATTAGACTACGAAATGATGTCAGTTTTTTGGGTCACCCTGTACAATTTTAAAAGGAAAACAATCATTTTATAAGTTACTGTAGTGTGTTCAAGAACTGCTTTGGCGTGTTAGTTTTAGGTTATGTGTTCAGCATTTATTTATTGAGGAAAGCTTTGCTTATGTGCGGCATGGCTGGAAAATAAAACACAGTGACTTGTGCGAAAGTTGTGTCTCTTTTAAAAGTGGTGAGGGCATTTATATTGTGTAAAAATATCACTGGATGAGGAGAGATTTTCTGGCGAGGGCCAAATTTGGGCACTCCTGAGTTAAAGGATTTGGAGTCAGGTGTCTGAGACCTGTTGTCAGAAACACAAATAAAACTGAACTGAGTTAAAGTTCATTGTGTAAAGACTTCATCGTATAACATTTATAGAACAAGCTGAGTAAATATAGGCCAACTGATATTGCAGGCCTAAATGGACAAAGGCCTCAATAGGATGCTGTTTCTGTCTGCAAACAGCACTTACTCAGAAAGATCTCCCCCCTCACACTCCCATCTCATAGTCCCATATTCACTGAGGTCATTGTGCCTCAGCCTCAGGCCTGGGGACCCGCAGGAATGTGCGGTTAATTCAGCTGATGTAACCTACTACCTTACCTGTGTACATGATGTAAGCTACAACCAACTTAAAGTCCTGTGTCGCCGTGACTCACGTTCAGAAACCTGAGAGGAAGAATACAGCTCTTTATTTGGACATAATGCCGCTGATACCCTTACAACAATATCTATTGTATTACAATAAGAAACTGTAAGATTTCTACAATACCTCTATAGTAGCCTATTATATGCTCACTTCTTATACTATTCTCATTTTACTTTTCTGGAATATAAAGTCTCTGAAGTATAATTAAGTGTGTAAAAGGTAGAAGTCATTTTTTTGGGCTAAAATAGAAGCTGAGCGGTTCAGCTGAGAGCCACAAAAATCTGTGAAATGTTACTGACTTGACTATTTAGTAATGTAATGCTACATAAGAGTCAATGCAATATGTCACTTTTAAAGCGAGCGATATGTCACCTGGCAGTCCAATGAAAAATTAGTCCTGCCTCTCTTTCTCACTTGGTCTCTGTTTCTCTCTCTCTCTCTCTCTCTCTCTCTCTCTCTCTCTCTCTCTCTCTCTCTCTCTCTTTCTCTCACTCTTTCTCTCTCAATATTCACACAGGATATGGTGTAAATCTGCTTGTGTAGTTTCAGCTTGCTCACATGTAAGCCATTAGTACGCTGCCATAGACTCCTATGGAAAGTGCTCTGTGTACCCCTGCCCTCCTCTTTTATTGATTCTCTACGTGGAAACTCAGCAGCTTATCAGTCTCATAAACGTGACATCTCAGCCGCCGATCTCTGGTTGAAAGAGCTGAGGCTGTGCTTTTCAGAGACAGAGGAGATTTTGACTTGTATATCTTGTGAATTTGATTGTGGAGGTGGCGCGGGGGAGCTGATCTTGAGTCAGCACTTTTACCTTCATACCTGCAGATTTCATACCTGTACGTCCAGATACGTAGACGCCAGCATGCATTGATTGTAAACGATTTCATTGCATGAGTGAAAGCCTGAGTAGGAAGGGTGAGATAGTACAAGAAACTTTAAATCACATTAATCCAAAGCTGCACTCTATTAAACATGCAAACAGAACTGAACACTTGGAAACAAGAAATTCATGGCTAGTGCTCGGGAACTACACTGTTTATTACTCATTTAAGGAGTATGAGGTTTTTGTCCTATTTTTCCCTTTTAGATGCACTTTGTCCCAGTGAATGACTGAAAGGGGTACTCCACCCATTTTTCAAAATTTCTTCAGCTTCAGTTGTTTATATATATATATATATATATATATATATATATATATATATATATATATAGAGAGAGAGAGAGAGAGAGAGAGAGAAAGAGATAGATAGATAGATAGATAGATAGATAGATAGATAGATAGATAGATAGATGTTTGAATTACAGAGATATTTAGAAAAATAAATGAATTCCCCTTTAAAAAAAAAGCTGAAACACTTTGTTTATCATTAACTTCTCCCCTCAGAAAGTCAAGGTAATATTGTGATTCTACCCACCCATAAGCCAGGCTTTCTATTCTCAGGCCCACATGGCTGCAGTGCTTATGGTGCAGCAGCTCTTTAGTCAACACTACAGCATTTCGGAGCACTGACAGCTATTTCCAAACATTTTGGCTTTGATTCCTCCTCACTCAGAGACAGATTCATTCTATTTAGGTCACTGACTGTGCTTACTTTCTCTGATATTTTGCTAACAAAACAATCCCTGCAATGTAACATCCATCTGAAGACTACACTCAGAATACTGCAGATGGTCCATACAACACAACGACCTGCTGTTATGGGGATGTTTTCCTGTTTCTTTTCTGCTTTTGTCTATTATAGGGGCAGAAGTTGGCCTTGTTGTCTGTTCACTTCTCCAAAAGTAACTGGTTTGATCCTGAGAGTTAGGCCCCTCAGAGTGGGAAAATATGCTGAGTACCTCACATTGACCATACTGACTTAGCAAGGCTTTGGAGAAGTGAATGTGTTTACATCTGATCATGCTTGCTGTTCTGCAAAGCAGTGATAGGATTCACGTGATATTAGCTTGATATATGTCCAAAAGTTTGTAGCCGCCTGCTCATTCAGTATTTCTTTTTAAATAAAGAGTATTAATAGGCAGTTTGCACACCCTTTGCTGCAGTAACAGCCTCTACTCTTCTAGGAAGGCTTTACACTGGATCCGGGGTCATTAAATAAATCTGACCCACGGCCAAACTCTCAGAAAGTCTCGGGTCAGTACTGATGTTGGATGATTAGTACTGGATCATGCCAACTTGTCCCAAAAGTATTGGACTCCATCCAGTACTTTTGGGATGAGTTAGAGTGATCCAGAATCAATCATCCAATATCAGTACCTGACCTCACCAATGCCCTAAAGTATGCAGCTCCACTGTTCCACAGCCCAGTACTTGGGGGGTCACTGACGCTTGGCATTGGACATGGTGACCTTAGGCTCATGTGTGGCTGCTCCAGAGTGTCCCATTGTATTAGCAATGTTTTTCTATGGAGATTATACATGTATATGCGCAACTGAACACCTGTATCAGGACCTTAAAGTAGATTAATAATTTGATGGGGTGTCTGAATATTTTTGGACATAATGTATGATGTAATGATATGATAAATTATATATTTTAGTTTCGGCACTATTTAAGGAGATCATAGTTCATGGTTCCTTTTCCCTAGTAACCAAAATAGCCTGATTCAGTAAACAGAATGTGTGCTTTTATGTGCTGTCATTCTTATTTCAACCTTCTCTTATTACACCTAAGTTGTATTATTCAGTACCCACATGAACTACACAGCGAACTGGCTGGAGTTATTAAGCTATAGCATGTAATATAAGTTTGGACCTGCTGGTCATTTAAAGTGCTTGTGTATCTTTAAGCAAAGGCCAGATGTCAGTTATCTTTTGCATCTGATTGCAATTGTGTAATAACAAGACAACCTAACAAACCGTAATCCAGTTTCACTAGAAATCACTTTTTTAATTGGAACATCCTCATGTCATGTCACTATGAGTTTGGAATATGAGGTATTATTCTGTGGTCAGTGGATTAGCTGCATTACCCTTTCTTACACCACTAAACAAAAAGAAATGACCAAGTCAGTGTACCTCATTGTGTGTGGTGGTCATGCACATTTGTTGTCTGCCTTTACAAGCCATGACGCCTTATGCCGTGGTCTTAGATGAAAAAGGGTGGATTATTTGGCTGCATTCTGCCCTTGGAAACCTAAAAATACGTCGAGAATCATACTTAAAATCTGAAAAATAAAAACAAATTACTCAGGCACGGTGACTGTGCTGTTTTGTTGCTCTCCAATGGCATTGTACTTGACAGTGGTTTGGCTCTTGGTATCCTTTTTTGGTCATGTGACCTTTTGGATCATGTATCATTTGTTCTTGTTTCGTGGAATCTGCTTGCCTGGGCTTGCAGTGGAGCGAGACATCTTCACATCTAGCTTTAAAAACACATCTCTTTTACTCTTGCTAGTCTAATTACTAATTATTTTTTGACATATTCTTA